TCACACTGATGTCAGTCGCCATAAAAGAAATTTCGTACTCAATCCACAATCTCCTCGGGACACGATTTTGTATCAATAGGCGATATGACCCTTAACCTTCCGCACGAATAAAAAGCTACCTCTTGCGTTTGATATCGAGGGAGCAAAATAAATCAGTTTCATAAAATAATCACATATATGATTTTTTTTTTTACAATTATTGCCCTTTCCATGACTAAACAATATTTTTAATCTTATCGACCTGAACTTTGGTTAAGTTAATTATCGTAACTTTACTTAGAGTTTTAAAGAATCGCAAATTGTGTTAGTATCTACATTAGATATCCAACTGTAGTTTAATCTAATTTGGTGATTAATTTTTCAAATTTCATTTATTAGATAACAAAATTCAGTCCCGCGGAATCTTGTAACAATAGCATTTGTCCATCTCTGCATGGAGGAAAGTGAAAAGAAATAACTCAAGATAAGCAGAGATAAGAAGGTTAGTGAAGGTGGTAAAAGAAAGGCAATTTCAAAAGGTAAAAATAATATATTTTTTATATATAATCTTTCGTTCTTCTTAAACGATTCAGGAAAGATTTTGATGCATGTAGCGTTTGATAATCTACCAAAATGATTGCAAAGTGATTCATTAGATAACAATAAATTGTGTAGGAGAAGATGAGATTCATTATTTGTTTTTCCTTTATTGGTTTCTGACCGAAATTTATAAACAAATACAGCGATTTTTTATATTTTATTGAGAACAAGAAGGCTTAAAAATATTTTAATTTTCTAAAAATAAAAATAGTTACATAGGTTCTTCTCGATAAAAATCCAACTGTCATATATTTTATTTTTTGGATTTTTTTTCTTGATTGAAAAGTCCAGCAAGCACATACCGTTATACGAGTTTTAAATTTGTTCGTTAATTCTTTGGTGTAAAAATCTATGAGCTCTTAACGGCTGAGAACAACATAAATTTTACAATTTCCTAAGAAAGCGACGTACTTTATATCAAATATGAATTAATATGCGAATATATAAAGAATAAAGATCCGTTGAAAAACGAATAAATTGACAAATTTAATCTATTGAGTTAGTAAGGAACAGAAATGGAACCGAACGCCTTCATTTTGGCCGGTGTGACCCGCACTGCTTGAAAACACTGATAATCCTTGAGTTGGGCGAAAATTATTAGATTGGCCAGAAAATTTATAGTCACATGATTGATTCTAATTCTTAATCTGAGAACATTCATATTTTTGAACCTAAGTTTTATTTTATTTAGCCTCTTTTTTTTTTTTAAGTACAAATGAATAATCAATAGAAATCCTAGAATTTTCAATGTTAGTGATTCGGTAAAAAAAAAAATCGTTATCCTTTTTAAGTATTCTTTCAGCTCTATAGTGACATTTTACTTTTCTACATAAGACAATTAATTTGTTTTCATCTTACAATTACCAAATACTTTATTTATATTTTCTGTTATTAGCTGGCCTTACTAAAACATTATATGTATAGTAATATTGGTTCTCAGTTTCTGCCTAGTTTCTTCTCTGACTTTATTATTTCATTATTTTTTTTTTTTATATGCATAAACATGAAGCCTCATAATAAATATTTTTTATTAATCTTTATAATATTATATTATAAATATAAACATCAAGCCACTATAGACACTTGAATAGATATGTTATTCCAATCATTTAATAAAATAATAAACACTAAATTCAACTCATTAACCCAGATTATGATAAATGCAAATATAAAAGCCTTACAGAAAACTGGTCACAACATATTAATATTTACTCTGAGGGATCAAAAACAAGTGATAATACTAGCTCTGCAATTTACATTCCAAAGTATAAATATTCCATGCAACGCAAACTTCCAAACTTAACATCTATTTATAATGATGAATTATATGGAATAATTACAACCTCTCAAGTTTATAAACAGATCAAGTGAAAACAAATTTGTATAAAGTAATGCTACGAATGTTCTTTCACCACATTTATTTTCTTTTTCTTTTTACATTGGCTAAGTTCAAAGAAGACTTAAGCACCATTTGTGGATTACAGAATGATATGGAGTGAAATTAGCATCCTAGCCGAAAAGTAGCCAATGTAAAAAGAAACAGAAAATAAATGTGGTGAAATAACATACATAGCCTTACTTTTTATTATTATAATTGATTTCACCTAAACCAAAAAACATAAATTAATTTAAACATGACCAATCAGAGGCTAAACAAGTCAAGGATTCAGGAGATTTAGAAGTCATTTGAAGAAGACTTAAACACCATCAGTGGATTACACAGTGATATAGCTTGAAAACGGCATCTTAGCCGAAATGTAGTCAATGTAAAAATAAAATAAAATAAATGGGATGAAATTACATACATAGCCTTATTTAGATTAATATAATTAATTTCACCTAACACGATTACCTCTAAAAAATGATAGCTGTGTAAATAAAAATAATATTTTAGCTAACAAATTCAAAGAATACTTTTATACAATATACAGAAAAAAACAAATAATATTCATGAGGGTCAAGTATGATGAGAAATGATGAGGTAGACTGTCTTGCTAAAACCTCCGTTAGCCTACCTTATATTACAAACATCAAACTGCCATACACGGATTACTTTTCGATGATTAAAGAAAATATGGTAAATAAATGATCCCACTATTTTTAGAAGTCTCTCAATGAAAAATTGTATAAGTGTACCACAAATTTTTAATTAGCCATGGTTCTTCGAAGTGAACCTACCGAAAGACAGTAAACATTTTGTCTAGACTTAGATAAAATTATGGTTTATACAAAGTGTACCTGCAGTGCAATAAATTGTTCTTAGTGTGATGAATGTAACCTAAAAGAAACCTTTGAAGATGTAATTATGTAATGTCCTGCTTATATAAATTAAAGAGATAAATTTCTAAACTTTTTAAAACCATATAATAGTGATAATCAATATAAAAATTATTAACATCAAGCAAACACAAAGAAATTATCAGTGCCACAAAGTACTTGTATTTAATAAATAAATATATTTACAATGGAAATAGAAAAGAATAAAATTTCAATTTCATAATATTATCACTGGCTGTATGAAAAATTCCAATGAAAAAAACATGTTATTGTAGATACATTTCAGGAATTTAGTTTTTCTTCACCTCAAAGATGTTTTAAGGAGAGGGCTAAAAAGCTTGTTGGTTACATCGGAAAGTGTATAAAATCGGGTCGTTTTAATTTAAAAATGGGCTCTCATTGTTGTTTTATTAATGTTATTGTCATTGTAACCACAATTTCAGGTAACCAACCATATATTGTAATATGGTGGGTAAAACTTTTTAGTTTAATCATATTATATACAATAATATTTAGGATTTACTGTAGTATTTCTACTTACGATGGTAATGAACACTCCATTTTTACAGTTCATATAACTTTTTTATTTATTTTAAGGTTTTAGGGTAAATCTCTTATCTGGGGTTAATGTTTTTCTTTTTTTCTCCTGTACCTATAATTTGAATTTAATTTCTTCATTTACATGATCAAATCCTAATGCCATAATCTCAAGATTTATTTATGCATTATTTTTTTAAATAATCCATTATAACATCAGAAAAAATATTTAAAATCTTTTGATTTAGGAGTATTTTTCTATTTTATTTTTGCATATATTTAAAATTTAATGACATTTATGTACAATTAATTTTTAACATTTTTTTACTCGATAGTATCATAAAATAGGAAAGCTTTACACATTAGGACTAACTCTAAATGGAACAAACAAAAAAAAAAGCAAAAAAGATTTTATACTTTAGAAGCAAATCAGCTTGTCTAATTTTTACTTATAAATGGTTATCCTTGATTATGTTCACCCTGATAGGCTGAAACAGAAATGAAAATAAAGAAAGTTAAATAGGAAGGTTCTAATTTAAAGTTTACTAAAATTATCCAATTTTTGAAGTAATATTAACTGTAAGGAATAAAGTTCTTATCTTTTATACTATATCACTTGCTAGTAAATATTTATTATATTAAAAATACCTCAAATAATGAAAATTTATTTTTTTAAATTTTTTCTTCCTCCTCAAAATTTTGATATTTAAACTCCACATTGTTTCACTTTTCTGCAGATAATATGACAACAAAAACACTAAATAAATTAAAAATATTTCATTTTAATACTATTAATAAATATTTTGAATTACTTATTTAACAGAACTGTAATTAAAGTTAACTTATTAACATTAGCTAAAATTATTTATTAAATAGTTAATAGTACAAATGTTGAATGATTTGTACTCATCTAATCTATAAACATGTATAATAGGTAAATATAAATAAGTATTATGTGCTGTATTAGGATTGGGCATTGTCAGCTCACAAACGGCTACCTTCTAATATGTCTCGAAGCGTCCATGTGCGAAAAATTTAATAATACATCTCAAACAGTGAAACATCTTTTGGTAGAATGTCCCCAATTAGAAAACTACAGAAAAAAATATACTTAGGAAAACACTGAGAAATTCTACAAAATATAAAATACAACGCCCCAAAAGGTTCTAATTTTACCTATAAAAGTTTCTGAGACTGGAATGAAGAATTTAGAGATATTATACTATTTTAGTTTGATTTATAGAAGAATAGAAGTTTACAAATTGCTATAATAGAATATAAGTTGTAGTAAAACATCAATGACCTTAGACTAAATGTAAGAAAGAGGAAAAAACAGTATTAAAAAAAAAAAAATAATAAATAGAAAAAATGAAAGTATATAAAAATTAAAAAAAAAAAAAGAAATAGAAAGAAAATCAAGCATTGATATATGTAAACAAATATTTATAAAATAAAATCAAACAAATTATGGAAACTTATAAAATTAAATTTCAAATAAATAGAAGTAATTAGACAGTTTAATTATAAGATATGAGATATTATAAGATTTTTTATAGTTTAGAGTTTACTATCATATAATATTATTAGTAAACATCATTATAATAAAAAAATTAATAAATAAAACAAAGTTGAATACAAATGGAATGGTGGACGAGTATGCACAACAAACATTTAAAATATGGGTAAAAAATAGCTTTCACATTATATGTAGTTCATATCTTCACTGTAATCATAACTTTCCCGCACATTTCTTCATCCTTGACATCACTTGTATCCTCTAGACATCAATGAGGATACAGAAGACACTGGTGGTCCAGTATCATGGTGAGTTCATATTATCAGCCTCGTTTGCATAAGATGAAATGTTGACCTCTCAAATTAATAATATGTACTCTGATCTTATGATGAGGGTCACGTTTTTGAAAGTGATAATGTATATTTTAATCTGTAGAAAGAAACATAATATTATTTCATTTATTTTTTATTTCAATTTAGTTGCATAAAGTTATTGACAGATGTATAGTAAAATATGAGCAATGAAAATAATAAAAATTACTTTGAATTAGAAGGTTTGGTTGGAGACACCAGTACCATGACAGTTTTAACATGAAGTAATGGAGCCATTTTCATTTATTTTATGAAGGGATTTAAAGTTGCAGATGCTAAATATACCAAGTTTTTTTTACAAAAAGAAAACATCTAAAATTCACACGTTTCTTAAAAAATAATATAATGAAAATAATAAACAAAATTAAAAAAAAAAAAATTATAAAAATGAATCAATTTTTGTATTTTCCGTTTTTATTCATATATTTAAATAACAGGATATATTAAATCTGGTATATAAGTTATAGTTAAAAGTAATTGTTTTGGTTAAAAGTTGTTTTTTGAGTTATTCACAACATATAATATACAAGTATAATAATTAACCTTGGCAAACAAAATAGTGTATTAAAAAATACACAAAAAAATATAATTTCTTCATATTTATTTTTGCTACTTTTTAAAAATTTAATTGTATGTATAGACCATGAAGATTCTTAATGAATTTTCATATAAATCTTAAAAATAATACAAATTCATATACATTTTAAGAAAATAGATGCAGGAACTTCTTCTAGAGGACAACATAAATCATAATGAGGAAAAAAAGGGTAAAGATATCAGGTAAAACCTGTCACAGAGTTTGGTTTTCCCCAACAGATCATCCATCAGATATTCCCAGAAGTTTCTAATCAGTATTAACTTGTCTTCTTATATGCCAACACACTTCTAACTCCATTTGAGGTAATAATATCCTCATATATATTTACAAGTAATTAAATAATTTGAGCAATAATTTAATTTTCATGTATTCTCTATTTATCTTATACATATATGTTTTTTTATGACCATTTATAGTTATGTTTACATAACTATAGTAACATAATTATAGTTAAGATTCTATTTCATACACCTGCATCTGTGATGATAGCTTACAAGTTGCAATATACAATCCGTAATTTAGCATTAACCTGAGTAAATCAAAATTAATTTTTGTAGTATTGTTTATTTAAACATATACAAGAATTATACAATTATACATCAAACTTTTAAAGATATTTTGCTGGTTTTTGGTAAATTTTATAAAGCTGTACTGAAAACATATTTTTATTGTTTAATTTTACAATAGCATTTATGCTGTATCTTCCAGTATTATACCATTTGCCGATTCTCACTCCTGGCTATAGAAAGATAATATGATTAAAGATCAATCAAATTATGATGAATCTTATTTATCTATCTTAGAAATATGTGTCTTATTTTAAAGGACAAGCAAAAATTTGTAACTAATAAACTTTCATAAATCGTTAATAAAATTTTCCCATTTTTTTAAACCATTAATATGACCAACTTAATAAGATTAAACCAATAATTAACACAAAATGAATGAATGAGATAACAAGCTGTCCTTGAATTGAGGTCAAAATGTCATATTATGATTAATTAAAGATATTTTATATCTTAATATCTCAGTGCCGTAATATCTCAACTGATATCATAGTTAAAATGTATCATTGAATATCTTCAGATAGACGATGCGACTACTGTATCTCTTGTCTCTTTTGGTACCTGTGGTCCTCAGCAACCCTGAGTTGACAACTTCCCAGGGTAGGCTCCGGGGTCGTGTCTTGAACTCCAGGAATGGCAGGAAATACTTTGCCTTCAACAGCATACCTTATGGACAGCCACCTGTGGCAAACCTCAGGTTTATGGTAAGTAATGTATTTTGACTAATATGAGTTAGTAAATTCACAGTAATAGTTTTTCAGTTATAAAATAATTTTAGAAGTATTTTTAATTATTTTAAATTAATTTGATAATTATCATTCTACTGCTAACATAACAAGTTCTTTTAAAATTATTCTTATAATTGACAAGCTTACTTAGTTGGTTAAATTATAAATAGATTTTTTTTTTTACATAATAAATATTTCTTTATCATTGAAAACAAATTATTATTTCATGATTTTGCTGTCAATAACACTGACCGACAAAAGTTGTTTTTAATTGTTTCCTACTATTGTCCTTGGTACAGACCGCTTTTTATCAAATTATATCCATCTGCCTGGAACTTCATAAATAGCTTCATCTCATTGTAACCACCAAAAATTTTATTTACGAAAAATCTTGGAATTGGGGTGTTTTCAATCTGGAAGTCAGCAAACTTTGTCTATTTAATTAGGTAATAAAAATTCGTAAATACCTATTTGCTTTCCACTTGGATGATAAGATAATTTTATCACAAAATCATGATAAAGGTGGCCTACAAAAATATTTGTCCGTTTGGTCTACATAACCTCGTTATTTTGACAATTCAGGAGTGTTGGTGATGCCAAATGGCTCAATATTTTTGAAGGTCACATTTTTTCTCCATTTTCTGCTCAAATTATCTTATGATTCAATTGGAAAGCAAATGTTATTAACAAGTTTTTAGTACCTAATTAAATATACAAAGTTTGGCTATCTCCAGACTGAAAACGCTTTGATTCCGAGAATTTTCATAAATAAAATATTTGTAGGTTACAATGAGATGAAGCTATGAAGTTTCTAGCAGATGTTAATAATTTGATGAAAAAGGGGTGTGTATCATCGACTACTATAACAATGGGATTTTTATATTAGCCTCTGTTTCCAAGATAGGTGATGTACATAAATAATACTCATTGTTACAATTTTCAATAGAAAAAAAGATAAAAATATGGCATCAAAATTTCTTATACAAAATCATCTTCAATACTGTAAGCATACTTGAAAGCTGTGTGATTCCACTTGGAGGAATGGTTTCTGCAGTTGGATCAAATGCTGGGCTTCATGAGAGTATTACATTTTGACCTACCTCTTGAAGATTAACTCTGCAACATCTCATCAGACAGTCTACCAGAGGTTTTCTAACATTTATTTGTTCCAACTAAAAAAAAATTAGCAGAATGCAGCTAACCTTCCACAACTGAATTTTCTGCTAATCCAAGCATGACTTAAATAGTCACGATACAACTATCTCAGAAAAATGCACTAATTAAATTATTTTATGATGAGTTTCAAGTTGAGCTGGCAAAAATCAATTAAAATCACGCATTATAGAGCATGAAACATTTTCTTCTTTGGTCAGTATAATGCAAACAATATGAGCAATTAAATTATTTTAACTTATAACTTTTTTTGAGAAAAATTATTACATGTAAAAGATTCCAAACAATGCATTAAAAATAATTTATACCTGATTATTTCTTTTTAATTTTACCATAAATAAAAATTCATTACAGAGAAGCAAAAACAATGGCTATACTTTCCTGGGAAATGGCAAGTACTTAAGTTCTGTTTAGATTATCCATCATGTATTTTGTATTTTTGTATTGTATATGTATTTTATGTCAAGATAAATAAAGAAACCAAACTAAATCACTTTGACTATTAGACATTGTTCCATTGAAAGTATACAAAAATATTCTTTATTCTCAAGTTTTATTTCATTAATGATACATCAATGACATCTTTTTTAGATGGAAGAATAGGAAGATTATAAAACTCATGATTGCTTATGATTTTTTTTTAAAGCAGTATAAGTGTGTATATTGCCTCATTAAGATAACTTAATCATTATTAAAATTTAAAAAACTTAAGCCTGGTCTCTAAATATTTTTCATATGGATATTTATATGAAATTCATCATTTTCTTAATGTGAAATATAATATGTAAATCATAAAATACTATCATAATGTATTATAATGATGGAACAATTTTACTAGAATATATGTATTTTTTATACATATAACTAACTTTCTTATACTAGCTTGTGTTTAAAAACTTTTTTAACTATTAATGTTTAGCCTCCATTACCAGCCAAGAATTGGACAGGAACATTGGATGCAACTAAAGCAAGTCCTATATGTTACCAGTGGGATTATGCTAAATCTATAGCAAAAGGACAGGAAGATTGTCTATATCTGAATGTTTACACTCCAAAGGTATTTCTCAAGAAATACAGTATCTTTTATTTGTATTTTAATTGTAAAATCTTTTGATCAAGTCATTGTTTTAGATATCAAATTTATCTTTGCCAGTTATGATTTACATCTATGGAGGTGGATTTAAAGTAGGAGATGCAGGGCCAGCTGAATCTAGCCAGTATTTTATGGATGAGGATGTAGTCTTAGTCATACCAAATTATCGTCTCGACAGATTAGGTATTTATTAAATCATTGCATACACATTATATCTTATTCATTTATTTATTATTGAATGGATTCATTTTTAATTTTGAAGCGATTTTATGTTTCTGTGGGGGCTAGTTATTTTTTTATCTGTAAAATACTATCAATAGCACAGTGGTCCAGTTAGGAAAATAGCAATGAATGTTTGATAAGGTGTGAAAGTAAGTAATTCATAAACTAATTCCACCATAATTCTAGTTGGAATTAAGTATACGGAAATTATCCATTCCCAATTTTCTTAATTTTGTTACCATAACTTCATGTGACACCAAAGCAAAAAAAGTACCCAAAATATAGTAAAGTCTTACCTGTGTTTTCAATATGTGGAATGTTTTAGAGTATTGAGTTGTATATATATATTTCTTTAAAAAAATAGGTAGGTGTAATTAAAATTTTTTTTTATGAGTCCATGTTGACTCAAGTTACACTACTCTTACCCTTCTAAGTGTTTGTATTTCTGACTTAAGCCGAATACTAAGCCATATTGGCCTCTCCCACATTTTGCTAATCCTTTGAGGATAAATTGCTACATATGCTTACATTACTTCTTTAGTAAAGGATATGATAATCAGTTTCCCATGAAAATGGATATGGTTAGTCCCAGATCTGGTGTTCTGCAACATGCTGATTAGAACCATTGTCAGGAATGACATGTTGGAAAATAGTCTGCACAAGTAATTTAAATCATATTTAAATAAATATATAAAGCCTTTATTCATGAATAATAAGATAAAATGATACATTCTTTGGTTTTAAAATAATAAAAATGGTATAAATATAACATAATTGATAAATATAAATATATTGATAAATATATATATTGATAAATATAAATATATTGATAAATAAAATCCAAAATGCAAATTACATGAAAATAAAAACATATTTGTATTTCTAAATTAAGCCCAATACTTAGCCATATTGGCCTCTCCCACTTTTTGGTAATCCTGTTTTGAGTCCACTTTTTTATGCCTGTTTATGTGTTAATGTCTCCTACCTTTGTAATGTTGTCTCTCTATCTTGTTATTTTTCTTTCTCTCCATCTTTTTTCATATAATGGCCACCATTCCACCACTTTCTTCATCCATCTTTCATCATCCATCCATGCAACGTGCCCATCCCATTTCAGTTTTAAATCAACTCTATAATGTCTTGAACTTTAGTTTTATGCCTAATCTTTTGATTTTGTATCCTGTCATTTGATTTTATGTCCAATTTACTCCTCTTCATTTTTCTCTTAGCAACTTGAAGTGAGACTTCACATGACACATGTTTAAATATACTGGAAAATTTCCTTTTATAATAAATTTTATTATTTATCAACCACTAAATAAAATTGGCTGTCATTCTAAATTGCTGATGAACCTTTCCTTCTATGTAGGAGAGCTTTTTTTCAAAACTCAGAATTTCTTATTAGTCATATAAGGAACATTAGTACCAAAGTTTATTAAAATTAAATTGGTAGTTCTGATTTTAATCTCCCATGAACTCTCTCACAATGTTTTTTTATATAACTTATTGTTTGCATATCAATGAAAATCCAAGCTTTTATGTTAAAAAAAGGAATGAGTAATTTCTTTATTAAGTTAATAATATAAGAACAATTGTATGAAGTGACTTGACATTATTTAAAATTTTAAAAAGTTTTTGTATGGGAAGTTAGCATAAAAATTTTAAAAGTATACCTCTATCAATCTAATTCAATGTGAAGTTACTTTAGACATAGCTTTTACCAATCTTTATCATATTTAACTTGCTTTTCTTTACTTTTCAAGGTTTTTTCAGTTTGGAGGATGAAATAATTCCTGGTAACATGGGTTTGAAGGACCAGGCACTTGCTTTGGAATGGGTGAGAAAAGAGATTACAGCTTTTGGTGGAAATCCAGACCTGATAACTGTCTTTGGTAACAGCGCTGGTGGTGCTTCGGCTCACTACCTCTGCTCAGCTCCCAGGCTCTCAGGTAATTATCAATCAAAATCCGATTTCAATATCTAAAAAGACTGTATTTTCATCCCTGAAAAATGGATACCAATTTTCTACCAGTAAATAATTTTATGTCACTCAAAATGTATTTTTATCATTAAAATATTTTATTTCTAAATAATTAATTCTTAATATAGCTTTAAAAAAATCTAAGGCGTTTGCTTTAGACCACACAATAGAAATGAAAATATCAACAAGGTGAGATTAAAAATATGAAATATAAATTATAAATAATAGCTCATTATAAAGAAGATGAAATGCTGAACATTTCCCTCACTTACAGTATCCAGGCCTGATTAATGGTTTATGAGATACTTTAATCCATATCTTCCATAAAACTCATCATCATCTTTTTACCTCTCCTGCTCTCTAACACTGTGTTGGTTTAATATATAATTTTGAATAATAGCTTATTACTAAGAAAATGAAATGCTGAACATGTCCCTAGTATACAGGTCCGATTTTTAGTATCTGAAACATTTTAACCCATAGGTTCAACTAAACTCATCATCATTTGGTTTTCAACACTATTTTTTTCTTTTTCTCCTCCCTGACACGTTATCACATTAAGAAACAGTGTTGAATAATAGCTCATTACAAAGAAAATGAAATAGTGAACATTTCCCTGGCTTACAGTATTCAGGTCCAATTTTTAGTATCTGAAATATTTTAATCCAAATGTAAAAATATTTCAATTAGTCGACCTTACCCGAGCGTTAATACTTAGGAAATCTGACAGATCAATCTAATTCACTCTCCACAAAAAAGTTCAAAACGCGCCTAAAGAAGTTTTAACTTACTAAAAAAAAGCTATTAAACAGAATTTTTTTTATGTCTATTAGACATTTTAACCTTTAATAGTGCTCACGTATTTTTTTATGGATTATTACATGTAAAGAAAATAAATGGAGTACAAGTACAGTTTAAACTAATATTTTATATTTCTGTATAAAATCTAAGTGCTGTACAATTTACCTTTTGGCTCCTGAATTTCTATTTAATGTTCAATAATATGGTAGAGTGTTATTAATTTTCAAAAGAAATTTATAATTTAGAACAATTTTAATTTTTTTAATAGACATTTTTCATTTTTAATGGATAAAATAGGCTATTTGAGGTTTTAATGCCATTTTGGTTAACTAAAATCTGAAATTACGTTTTTTAAAATATTCTAATTAAGATGAAGGTTTGTATACTATTTGAAATGAAATAATTTAGTATCAATGGCTGACAATACCATAATTTAAATTTATTTCACCTTCATAAATTGAGATGTTTAATGATCTAAGAGCACTTTCTCAAAGAAATACAAATTACTAATAATCAATTAAATTAATAATTCAAAACTTATTAATTTACCTTCCTTTTTTTTCTAGGTCAGATAAAAGGTTGTATATCTCAAAGTGGAGTCGGTGGTGCTGCAGCGTGGGCACTCAGCAGGCCTGGAGAAGCCCGTGCAGCAGGTTTAAAAATAGTGAAAGCACTAGGGTGTCCAAAGAATGAAATTCTATCTTGCCTGCAACACAAAAGTGCAGAAGAAGTCTCAGATGTGACCTTAATCCCTGCCAATGTAATAATAAAATATTTCAAAAACCTATTTACTCAAAAATTTATATAAGTTTATTTAAACTGATATTTTGTTAGGAGAAAGGTGCAAGGCCTACTCCAGTGATAGAGCCACCATCAGACCATGCAATAATAACATCATGGCCTCCTAAAAAAAATGATTTCCCTTGGATTGCCGGAACAACAGCAGATGAAGGAATGCTGTTTACTGGACGTATGACAATGATAATTACATTTTCTACTCATATTTTAAACTTATGTAATAATTTTAGACCTATATCCTATTGGATAGAGAAAACTATTTTTTCTCTTAGCAGGTTGATTATTGTAAATACCAACACTAGCGGATCCACGATTTAATTTTGGGAGGGCTTCAGTTCGAAAGTTTTTTTTTTCATTTATATTTAACAATAATCAATTTGAAATTAAATCAAGAAATTAACTACCTATATGAAATGGTATGTACATGATTCTTGAAGTCCTATTAAATGTAATTACACTAACAATAATATTTTAAGAGATAGTTTTTATTATATTTTTCTATAAAACATGTTTATATATTATCATTTGGGAGGGAGAGGGGAGCTTCAGCCCGAAAGCCCCCTCCCTCTGTAGATTCGCCTGTGAACCCCAATGAATGTGTCATGTGCATCTTACATCATACAACAAGGGAGTGGCATGAGTTAGCTTCATTTAATTTCAACTTCATCATATAATCCACATAATCTATTTATGAAATGATTTTCTTAGTGATCACATCCAACATCTAACAAATAAAATCCAAAAACGATGAAGGATATTTGAATGCTAAATTAATGGAAACCTCCCAAGAACATAATCTATTTATTAAAAAATTGTGCATAATGGAAATAATTTACTAAAAATAGTAGTGTCTATTATGCTCACAATAATATATTATAATACTCTGAGATCATGTAAATGACCAGCATTTTGAATCTTGATTGTTGATCCTATTGATTAAAAATTTTTTATTCATTTCATTCAGACATTGCCGTGTCTCTCACTATTACACTGAGTTAAGGTGGCTCTTCCCCTCCTTCTGAAGACGGTATTTTCTAGGCACATACCTCCACCAATTCATCAACAATCATAGTCCTTCTTATGCCTACAATCTACACCAGTTGAAATCCTCAATCCACTCCTCTTCCACAAGATCTAGGCCTTCTGACATGTATATCCCTTCTCACAGATCTGCTTCTTTCCAAAACTCCTTTGTTGCTCGCTCTGTCAATTTCTGAAATTCCTTTCCTATTAAAATTCGGCATTCACCCTTTGTATTCAAATTCAAAATACTCCTATTCCAATTCCTGTCCCATAAATAGTCAGATATTTGCTGACCTCTTGACACTATAAATTTATTTCATGTCATTTATCATCAAATGATAGCGATGTGCTTAGCTAGAGATATTACAAGAATTTAATACCTCGATACCACTATTGTCGTTTATCATTAATATATTTTTTTTATATACAATCAAATTCTCGTGTATAGTGTAGTTATCTTAACAACTGATCTCCTCTTCTCACGATGTATTTGCATATTATTATTTACTGGTATTGTATATTATTTGGAGTCCAAGGCAGGAGTACGCATCTCCCAGAGCCTCTACACCTCAACTCCGATCTCTCCTTCTCTTGGCAGGCCATGTTAAGCTGATAAACACGGGATTAACACACATTCACGGGACTTCACTGAGTATTTACAGCCATCAAAGTTAAAAATCGGTGAAGCCAAACATATGTACATTAACGATATGTTCACCCCTAAACCTTTTTAAAGAGGGTAGCCGCCTCCCTTGCCTCCTTCATAGTATAAGCCTATGACTTCATGGATACAATTATTTTCCAATGGAGGGACAGAAAACTGATTCCCTACCTGTTTGTGCATTCAGATCTCCAGCTTACACATGATGTTTGGAGCTCTAATCTGTAGCTTGCACAAGGATATTGTAGAAGTGTTCCTTATCTCTATTATCCAATATCATGTAAGTTCATGCACGCTTATCAGTGAAAAATAGCTATATTTGCTTAACCCTGCTAAACTGAAGTCAGCGAACAAACGAGAGATGGAGGCTCTGGTTAATATTAACTAGAGTGGTGAAAGTCAGCAGCAAGACTTAAAGCTATGGAGTAGTGGCGGAAGAACTCAACAGGGGGGTCAATGGCAGCCCCACAGACAAGTTAGATATCTACTGCATAAGGGTAGGAGAAACTCTTTAGTCCTAGTAAAGGCAACCTCCTAGGGGAAGGGCATCCAAAATCAAAGCTCCCCTACTTTAGAAAAATCTATCAGTTTCAAACCCCACAATTCCAGGAAAGCTGGATGGAAATATTGGTAATGACATTAACGATAAAAGAAAAAAGTATAAGGACTTGACCATGGCTATGTGGAGTGTACGGACCATGTTGCAGCCAGGAAAAATGAATGAGATTGCAGGTGAAATAATAAAATATGAGATAGATATAGTAGCATTACAGGAGATAAGATGGCCTGGACAAGGACGAATTGGCAAGAAGAATTACTCTCTCATTTATAGCGGAGCAGAAGCGAAGAAGGGACACTTTGAAACGGGATTCATCATTAGCAGAAACGTGAGAAATTTGATAATTGGGTATGAAACCATAAATGATAGAATCTGTAAAGTGAGATTGAATGAAAAAATCAGAAATATCTCAATTATTTCTGCTCATTCATCAACAGAAGATAAGAATGATGACGAAAAGGAATGAAAACTCTGAGTTTATTGATAAGAAGAATCTAATTTTTTATTTCTTTATTTTTCCTTAGAAGTGTATATTTATACTGCTTTACCTCTTTGTTTTGTTTGCAGTTTTATTTGTTTTGTATATAGCATGTTAACATAATGTTTTCTTTACTTATTTTTCTCATATTATTTTTATTTTATTGTTTCAAACCTTAGGCCAGAAGTAATCTTTTATTTTTGTACGATCTTGTTATTTTCAAGGGACATTGTTCCAGAGTAAAGTTATAATTTTCTATTTATTATGACAAGGGTGATTCAGCCTGTATTAATTTAATTTTATTTGAAAATAGGTTTCTTCCCTTGAAAATGGCCTAAGAGCTGAAAAATTGGTGTAAAGTAAATAAATAAAGTAGGATTATTGAGATCTAATAAGTGTATTAATGATTGTTTTTATTTATATATTTTTATTTTATTTTTTTGTTTCAGCTTTTGAATTTAATTTAACTAACCGAACTTTCAGTGAAGATGAATATATCCAATATTTTAAGACTCAAATTAGAGACACGTTGCGCTTGAAAAACCAGTCAGATGTTGTGGAGCGAATTTTTGACAGATTTACTACTAGAGAACCAAATCTAATATTAGCTGGAAGGAAGGTTTGAAATCCAATGCCTACTGAAGGTTTCTTATACCATGCCATTCTGTTTACTTTTCTAAAATACACTTTTTTTTTTTAGTTTGGAACTGAAGCCTTTTTCTTGTATCCAACTCTTGAAGCACTAAAACACCATAATGGGCCTAAATACTTTTATATATTTGATTATATTGGAGGACCTTCATATTACGAAATCTTGCTGAATAAGAATCTCAATATCACAGGTATGAAATATAATATTTTCAAGGTGTATTATTTTTAAATTAATTCGTTATAACTCAGTAATACTTTTACAATTGCATTACAACATTTATATTATTCAAACATTCACAGGTGTCAGTCATCATGACGATTTTCCTTATTTATTTTACATGCCTAATAAGTTTAAACCAGAAGGATGGCCAGGACCCAAAGACATTCTGGTTTCACAAACACTAATAAAAATCTGGGTGGCATTTGCTAAAGAACAGTGAGTATTTACTGATTGAACACAAATAATATATATAGGTTCATTTTTTCCATTCACAGTTACAACTTTAAAAACTTAGTTCAAAAATTATTGTAAACTTTCACATGATTGGAATTTGATTTTTCGGACTGACAATATGTTATAATTTTTCTTTTTAATAGTAGAATAACTTGTAATTCAATTGATTTCAATCGACTAGTTCTCCCACTTCAAATCAGACTCAGATATAAAAATTAAAATAGACTTAGTAGATACTAAAAGAAATGATAATAGGAATAAAATATGTTGGACTGAAATCATAGACAAAAATATAGTAAGATTAGTTTTATAAGTTAAAGAGTTAAAGCCCAAATTAATTGAAAGATGTTTATAACATAAGTTTCTAATTAAAACATTCTTTGCATGTATGCATTATTTTATAGAAATGTTTTTTGAGTGAAGAAGTTTTAATAAACTATTGATTATTTTAGGTCACCTGGAAAAACACTACCTCAATGGAAGACATTTGAGGACAAAACCTATTTAGAAATAGGAAACGATGGATTTAATACAAAAAAATTAAATGAATTTAAGGATGTCTATAATTTTTGGAAGGGTATAATCTAAGTATTATGTTGAGAATTATATTATTAATTTTATTTTTAAAAAATACAAAAGAAGATATTGTAAATATATTATCCTTTGGTTACCATTCCAACAGAAATAGCAACTAACATTATTTACTAACCCCTTAGTAAAGATAGTTACAAATAAAAATATATATTAAAAAACTTATAAAAAAAAATAAAATAAAATAAAAACGGAGTAGAAACCCAAATATCCATTAAATCTTCAGTAACACTAGCTTATGTGGCTCTCACCACAAGCTTTCTTTGATTTTTTTCAAAACATATAAGAAGGCACAAATTAATATGCATAAGTGAAGAAAAACCACTCGTTTACACACTTGTGCTTATCACTATTTGAGTAATGTAAAAACATGGCTTTAGTAATCTGACTATTATGGATGTGTTATGAAGAAAAATAATTAAAAAACAAAGAAGGATCTAACTTATAAAATTGGAAGTTTGATTCTATAAAAACTATTGAATCAAAATTATAAATTAAGTTGTAAAAAAAAGATTGGTATTCAAGATTATGAAATACTAGTTCGCTATTTACAAAATCTGTTTCATTGATTCATTATTTACAAACTTCTGAACATTTTTTTTTTCTCCCCTTCCTCGCCCTTTAGGATATACGGGGTTTTCCCGGACCAGGGGATGAGGGCGGGGATTAACGACAAGTTAAAAGATTCCCTTGGTACTGGGATGTGAACAATTATTTTATCATTTACAACTTCAGTTATCAGGTTACTAGCAATGCACTGTGCTGTGCACGCAAGTCCACCCCGCCTCCTAATTTGTGAAAGTATAGAACATGTTTAAAGAATGAGCTATTAAAACACATTTCTTGTAAGTAAAAAGAATTGCTTTTCTTGTGTATCCTCCCTCTCAAACCCATAAAAAAATAAAACCGTTTATCACATAAGAAAGTCCTTTGTTAATTAACTTCAAAGCATTTTTATTTTTGCTTTAATTTAAGCAACTACATTGAGATTAAAGGAAATAAAAAAAAATACCGCTGAAATTTAAAGTAGTTTTTTTTATTTCCATCCTTTTATCTCAATGTAGATGCTTAAATTAAAGCAAAAATAAAAATTCTTAAATTAAAGGAAGAAATATACCGCTGAAATTTAAAGTAATATTTCTTCCTTTTCATCCTTTATTGTTCAGGAAGACATATAAGTTCAAAAGAATTAATGGAAAAATTAAATACAAGCATGAAGGATGAAAAAAGTACCTAAAAGCTTTCAAAGGTGAATAGCAATATACAATTATTATTAAAAATATTGCTATAATCAATATTTAGGATATAATTAAATAAAATTTGATCAGCCAAGGGAGAGGAATATATAGCAGCATGTGACAAGAAATTGGGTTGGTTGGGGTTTTGGGTTACTAAATTACGGTTTTCCTTTGATTTGATTTTTTTATAGAATAATAGTATTTAGGATTTTTTTATTGTCAGTTATCTATGTATATAATATATATTAAGGGAAAGTATTGCTATCGTGAAAATTTTCGAATCTTAGTTTTCAATGGAAATACACGTTTTGAGATCCCCTGAGTCTAAATAACCAAGTCCCACAAAATGGAGTGTGTGTGTGCGTGCGTGTGTTTCATGGGAATTTGTAAAACTAATATTATTTAACGGAAATCACGTGTTTTCAAAGAAATTAAATGAAATTTACTAAATAAATGCCTACTTTTTTAAGTTTGAAAAAATATTTAAAATCCACTTAAAAAAGGCAATGGTTAAAAAACTATTTCATAATACTTATGTGAAAGAAGAAGTGAAATATAAAAATATTTCATGAATGTATAAAGCATATGTTTATAATATATGCATAATACATTTATTGTAGTTTAATAATTCTAGATCTGATATTATATTTAAATAATTAGATATCAACGTCCATTTATCCCGAAAAATCGTCATGTAACCTTTTAGAAAATTAAATTAGTGAATAATTTGATGAATTTTCCCTATGCTAAATCCAAACATTATCCATTAGAAATTAGTATGAGAACTTTTTACCTATCTATGGTAGGCAATGAAAATCTCGTAATTTCATTTTTTACAATTAGTATAAGTGGAGTACTGAGGTTTTATTGTCTACCATTAATATAATTAAAAGGGTTTTTCTTATTTTAGTGATCTTAATGATTGGTTATCTGTAACCTTTAAGCTATAGCTCTGTTAAAAATGCACTTCATAAATTTTATAATTGCTCAACATTGCAAGAATATAATTACTATTCAAAGTAGAAAGGTAAGTGAAAGTTGTGTGATGTGCTCACCACATTTTTTAATATACCGCTGGATGCATTATGAAATTTTTATCTGAGTAGCTATGAAACATTTGCTAACTGAGAGGAAGAAAATAGTTTATAAATACCTTGTAAAATTTTAAATTAATATATTTATTGGATGTGCAATGTAAAAGGTTAATAAAAAATATTTCAATGGCAAGTATTAATTGTGACATTACATTTAAGAGTGGGAACTGAATTAAAATTTTCAACCTGAATTGCCATGCTGAATCTAAAGTTTAGATGCTCCCAGAGCTAAATTTTTGCGAGTGCTTTTGGTACATTACTATCCCGACAATTTTCCTCAACAAAAATAATTATATTAATCATTTGAGTGAATAAAAGAAGATTACATTAAGGCTGTTTAGCTCTTTTTATTAGTTATTTTAATTTCTTTAGAATTATGTGCTAATAGGCCAAGTGACAAATCCGGTTGAATATATAGAAGTCCTACTTCAGTAAGTTCCTTGGACGAATAGGTCACAAATGATATGATGGAGTAGAATTTCATTTGACATTTTGCTCAAATGAGGTACTGAATAGCCTCTAAAATTGTCCCTTCATATACAGCTTTTATGTTTACTATTCTCATTGCATTTAACATAATAAAAATACTAAAAAGTTATTAGGTTCAACCAATATTGGGATAAATGGTGAAATAATGTAAATGTGAATCGATTTTATTTTGCTTACCCTTGGTGTACAACAGAATAAAATCTACAATTAAAGTTAAAATTACGAGTGTATATGGAAAGTTTTATTTATCAATCAAGTGGATCTGCACAGGAGTCCAAAATTCATCATCCAAGGGCTGAATTCAAAGTTTGTGACTTATTTGAAGAAAAAAATTAGTCCTAGGGAGTTTCAAAATGGCACCCATTGAAAGGGGGGACTACTAAATATGTAAAAATTGCGTTATTTGAAGATGATTTAGGTCAACGTGAAACTGCAAGATTAGGAAGGAGCATCACACAGGTTGACCATACTCAAAATACAGTATTATTATTATTATTATTTTCCGCCCGATTACAAATATCTGTGGAGGTAACAGTTATTCCTACGAAATAACTGTTAATTATCACTACAACTAATAACCACTTTGTAAAGCAGTCTATCTAACTATCTAACTATACGTTCAATAGTTCAAGAGAAACGGTTTTTTTTCAAATTAACATATTAGTTTATAAACACGCGAAATCATAACTTTTGGAATTTTATTTTAACAATTATGATAGAAACTGCTATTACTCCGAGTAGTTGATAATAATTATCTTCTTTTTAACTGTTCTAAATTACACTCTGGTATTATGTTACTATCTTCAGAAGGTTTATGTTTACGACTTTTAGTTATTCAAAAAATAAATATGAAGGTGTATTTAGACATTTCAAAAACTATGGGAAAAACAATTATCTAACTTAACTAACAGCGGCATTATTGTTAAACAAAACCATTCATTTTATTGATCTTAATACCGACAGAATATGGAAAATATCAAAAACAAGAGGCAAAAATACTATCATAGTGAAATAACCATTTATATAATTCTTTGTCTCTCAGTGTGTGAAATGTCTAAACGCACCTTGACAATTACTAAGTCAAAAGAGATTCTGGAAAAGAACCGAATTATTCGTCACCAACAATTAAGATCAACCAAATACCTACAAAAAATTCATTTTTCATGAAGTGTTGCTTGGTGTTTCAATTGGCACACTGTATATATTAAGCCTCATTGAATCAATTTGTCATCTCAAAGATGCGTGTTTAGTTTCGGTCAGAAAGTAAATTATCGGTACTACATAAATAAATAATTTTAGTAATAATTTGAAACATAAAATTAATTGCTTACGAAAGTAAGATAGCTTATGCGAATTGTAAGAGTGTTTCTACCAGAAGAAATACGGTGATTCTTAGTAATAGCCGCAAATAAGAGAAGACAGACACCTTTGAAGTGGTGATGTCACAGGTGGTGGAGGACTAACTTTAACTTTGCTTCCGGATTTAAATTAAAAGAGAAAAATCATCTTTCTTTTACACCATTGATGAATATCCGTTGTGCAGAGTGCTTTAGTCTAGTTGTAAATTGTTTTTTAGAAAACAGGTTCTTCAAATAAGAAACTCAACAAGGTGTGTAAAAAGATAGAGAGACCTTCTTTTTAGTAACAAATAATTGAATCATATTTGGTCTGATGAAATGATGAGAAACGGTGAGTGACGTGGTATCCATTTCTGCTTATCGTTCTTATTTAAATTGAATCTGACTTCGAAAACAACACGTTTCATCAGACATCTCTTCCAATCGGACTTTTTATACTCACTACATTAATCTGTAGAGGTGAGGGTTCTTATCAACCGGAACTGCTCCTTTTTTAAAAAAAAAAAAAAAGAAAAAATAGAACATCTGATAAAGAGTTAAAATTGTTTTTCATGTTAATTTCTTAGCCTTGTAATAAGTTTTCGATGCTAAACATAAAAGCTTGAAAAGTGTCATTTAATTGAACAAATATATAACAAGAACTGTAAAATGTAAATAACTAAACAAATTACATCATGATGTTCAGTCAAATGATAAAATTTATTACTAGGGAATGATCAGCTGATGTTGGTGTGGGAGCTCAGCTGACAGTCTACCTCACGTCTTATCAGAATGAGGAGCTCCTCTCACAAGAGCTGTTATCAAGTAAAGAGTCATGTTTCTTGGGTTGATACATTCTTTTTGACATAAATTCCCCTTCTACTCACTTACCCAATCAATAAACAGTACAACTCTAAAGTTTTGTCAAATATTAAATAATTTCTCTCATTAGTTTTGCACAGTATTAACTCCAACTCAATTCAAGATTCTTTATTTACATTCAGTTCAAAACTTATCAAGTCACTTCTAATGCTCCTAATCAAGTGCAGGAACTTCATCACTGCTATCTTTTGGTATGTTTTTCACTCCATTACTATGAAAAATACTTTGCCTATTTAAGAGAGTTTTTAACTTAACTATTTAAAATACTTGTGCATTATGTGTACATCTTTATTTTCATCTATATTTCAATTAATAAAGACATACATCTTTACAATACTTTGTTGTGTGAACTTTGAATTTCTTGTATACGAATTGCAGGTAGAATAAGTTTTCTGATTTGTTGTAATGATATTTCACTTCTAATCGGTTAAAGATTGTATCATTTTTGTTCTTTTACATTTCAATGAACAACCCTTTTGTATATTAACAGTTTTAAAGAATAATTTAGCTTTTTTTTTGTTATATAATCGTCAATTTATTTTAGAATGCTTACAGTCTGAGGAATCCTACAATAATGAAGCAGCATACAAAATATATAGAAATCGCAAAAGAAGATTTAAATAATGAGAAGTATAAAACAAGCTTGCATGCATCTCATTGCATGATTTTCTCTTTCAACAATGGTAAAGTTATTCTTGAAGATGAGTATTATGCAAAAGCAAATGTTCTGGTAAGTTATTAAATAAAATAAGTAATTGAATCATTTCGACACTTAAGTAGTAGTGTTCTATAGTATCTTAATATGAACAGAATTCTTTCTAATGACAAGAGAGTTTAATTATTTTCAACTATTCATTTTAGTTTAGTTAGTAAGACTTATTTTTAAATTATGCAATTCATTGTATTTGTTTTATATATGTTATGCTCTTTTCCTTCTTCATCCTTAAGAAAAATCTGTACAAATAAAGATAAAGATTTTTTATTTAAAAGATAAAGATCAACATAATTACAATATTTATATAAACATATATATATGTGATTCCTGAAAAGTTTTCAGCAACAATCTCTCTAAAATGATCTTCATTTCAGTAATTGATGAATAATTACTGTTTCCTGATCAATAGTATCAGCGTAGATTATGTGGTTCGTGACCGTGTAAGGCCATCAATTGCAAATTATTCTGACGGTCTTATATTGTCTAAAATATCTTAACTCCTAAATATTTCATAAATAACCACAAAAGTTTTAAAAAAACTACATAAAATAATTAATTGATTCTGGAAACAAAATTATTTATTTATTTTTTTTAAGAACCCCAAAACATTCACCAGTTAGGGCCTCCACTTTACAAAAAATCGTCTACACTGTAACAGACTGTAACAGTTATTTGAATCAGTATATATTATGGATACCCCTTTAAAGAATCAGACCTATTTTATGTAGTAACTATTTTGTGTCTTTGAATGGTCTTCTTACCTTCAAGTTTACCCATAAATTGAATAAAAGATAGTTGTTCTATGTTCTACCGAAGTTTGGTTGAAATCAGTGCCTAAAACATAGAAATCCAATCCTTATGCACTGAGCTATCCCACTTCTTTCATTGGCTTTGTAACTCATTGTTTATTATAGCATTATAATCTGGGAAAGTAATTATTTTTTGCATTTAAGCTTTTTATTCTTTACACTGCTATTTTTACTATGTGTATTTCCCTTTCTTTACTGCTTTCAAAACTCAATTATAGTATTTATCTTTAATAAAATTATTTATAACTATTCTAAAGCAATATTTTTACTAATTTATACAGCCTCCTATTTATAATTGATTTCAAAATTTTCATTTCTAATTAATTGATCTAGTCAATATAAATGAGAAATGACCTTAGAAAAAAATTATGAGAATAATGATACTAAGAATAAAGACATAAAGTGATATATTTTCTCCTTCCATTTCTATAAATTAAGCATTTACTTAAAAAATGAGTTGATAGGGGTGTCTACTGATGATGTATGTCTACCTTGTAGTGTTTTTAATTCCATTTTATCAATACTTAAAAAAAGAAATTATACATATTAGCTTTGCACACTTAACTTTTCAATTATATTATACATTGTATCAGATTTTGGATTATTATTAACATGGCAAATTTTAATTTACTTGTTGATCATAATAAAGTAAAACCTTGATGACTAAGGCATACAAAACATCATTATGAAATTTTACTGATGTAATATGCATTTTGTCATTATTAAATATATAATTATATTTTAAAATAAAAATTGATAAAACAAGTATTTACATTAAACTAAAGTATGGAAAATAATGTTTTGAAGTGTTAGTTTCAAACTTTAGATTTTTTATATAGCTGCTTAATAAAAAAAATTGCAAATTTATATCATTATTATTGCTGTTGGCCGTGAACTGACTTTTTAGCATAATCATTCCCTTGAATGTAAATGGTGTTGTGGAAATCACAAAGTTAAGTCAAGATTAAAAATATCATTCATTAGAAAATTTTATTTACTTTTTTTAAAGCAGATATTAAAATTAATGGAATCATTTTTTTTTTTATCAGTACCTACCTACCTTGTAATCATGAAAATATTACATTTTAAGAGTTACTCTGTCAAAAATGATAATTTTCAGAATATTGTATCAAAAACTTTCTCAAATCAAAACTAATATTTTATGAAATTAAAGTGTGATTGTTTTACAGAAATAAATCTCTATTTCAAAAATGTATCTTTGTACATTAAACAACTGATATCCTCAAGCATAAATTTAAACCTTTAAATTATTGAACATAACATGTTACCATGTCATAAGTATTTTACAACAAATAAAAATAAATTATATGAAACATATCCTATACAATTTTTGAATTTGTCAAAATAATTCTTGAATTATTATGAAAAATTAACCAACTTATTTCCTTTGATCTTCCAGTTATAAATGTATTCTTGAGAAATGATTGTGCATTTTAATTTTTATGATTTATAAAACGTTTTTTAAAATTATAAATACTTTTATTTTTTAATAGTATTTTTAATTTGTTTTACAGATGCAGATGAGATTCGATGGCCATTTGGGATTCCCAGGAGGTCTTGTTGACGAAGGTACTTCGCTTTCGTTTTGTTTATTTAGCAGTAAATCGAGAAACATACACTTACTGTTATCATTTCAAGTTAGTATTGTTATTAAGTCTTATGAAAAGGCAATATATTGTAGGTTTTCAAGTCCCATAGCTTCAAACGTATACTAAATATAGACTTGTTTTGATAAATAAATTGAGTTTATATTAAATTCAAAATAGATTGTTATGAATACGCAATTTTGTGAAAGAAGGCAATAGCTCGCCACTGGTTGCTTGCTTTTTCATCGCTCTCTGTGCCTGTTTGACTCTTAACCATTTCATTTCATATGATTCCTTCACTGTCAGCAGTTAAATTATATTTCATTATTTCCGCTATCTTATAATTTTTTATAAGACATCTAGTTTGGTGGATTACAGTATTTGAAACATTAAATATTCTACCAATCATGTAACATGATTATAAATGAAGATCAGTTACGTCATATTACAATTATTTTGATGAGCTAAAATTTTTCTTAGTTTACTTGGAAAATTCAGGTACTTTTTTCTTAGTTTACTCGGAAAAGTCAGAAAAAGATTTAGGATGATACACTGCCATCCATATTTGTTCGATAAGTATTAAATTGTATCCATACTTTTTTCTGATAAAGTGGTAAATTGTACATAGTTTAGCTCATTTAATTTTATTTTTTGAAAAATGTACTATTAAAGTATAATCCATTATGTTTACATGATATAAATATTTTATTGCATTTTTTATTTAGTATTTATTGAATAGGGGAAACTCCTGAAGAAGCTGTTACTAGAGAAATGGAAGAAGAAATGGCCATGGACAGACAAAAGTTGAAAATTAGCGCTGAAGTAAGATATATTTTTTTGTGCCAAACTTGTATGCTAAAAGTATGCAATTCTTCATGAACTTTTTACAGATATAATGTATTGTCTTAGCTTTATGGAAAATGTACTGGTGGTTCCCTTTTTTACATCTCTGATTTAAGGGCATGAATAAGTTTCCATCCAATGAGTCTCAATCCACTATTAACTCCCAGCTGGCTTAACTAGCTTAATTCTTTTAAACAATTAGTGTCTCTGCATATTCTATAAGCATATGTTTTGTTATGCTATATTGAAAAAAATTGAGATGTTGGAAATCTTATTTCATATAAAATAAATTCTTAAGCTATATACTGTCTATTGACTGCTATTATTTCAGTTTATAAAATCTAATTTGTACATGGCATTTATTACATGCGCTCTCTTTTTTTTTTTTGTTAATTTCTAAAATTAAACAATATTTGAAATATTGTTTTTTTCATTGTCTGCATTATCTTTTTATGTTGATTTCAGGATCACGTAATTTCTCATTACTGTGAAGAAAAGGATCTAGTTCTTCACTTTTTTGCAAAAGAAGTCAGTTTAAGCCTTTTTACAGACATCGAAAAAATGTGCTTAAAATCTCATGATTATGGATCTGAGGTAGTTATTTGTAAACTTATTTTCACTTAAATGTTAATTATTAATTATATGCAACAACATTAGTATATCGCTCATTTGCTGAAGAAACCATCATAATCCGAAATTCACTAAATTCCTGAAGATGAATTTGAAGTTTTAAATACTGTATTAATTCTGTGAAACTATTAATAAGAAAATTAATCAATTGTTCTTAAAAGTTCAGAAATAATACCCTGTTTGTCAAAAGTTTACATCATTGCAATTTCCACTGTTATTAACTCAAAAATCATGAATTTGTAGCTGTGATGTGTGTATAAAATGTAATGAGACTGGTAGCACTGCTTTTGATCTGACACTGCTGTGTTCTACTTGTCTCAACAGGTTTGTACATCCCTTTCAGATGTTCGTTCCATAGTTTTAGTTCATCAGTTATGCTGTATGTTACGAAAATGGAATTTAGAGCAATGTTAGGCCATCAAGTTTTATGTTAAATTTGGGGAATACACATGTGTGACCTTTTCAATGTTGTAACAGGCCTATGGGGAATATTCTTTATCAAGATCACAAGTTTTTCCCTGGCAAAAATCATTTTTGAAAGGCTGAGAACATGTTGAAGATGAATTTTACTCAGGGAAACATTAAACTTTGAAAACTGACAAAAATGTCAAAATCCAATTGTTTTACAAAGATGTTCTTAAAAAGTTGAGGAAAAGGGTGATTCGTGTGAGAACAGACATTGCAGACAAATGGATGCTTCATCATGACAACACCCCATTTCAGGCGGCCATTTCCATCACAGAATTATAGACAACAAAACACAATCCTGTTGTTCCATAGCCTCTTTATTCACCTGATCTGAGTCCTTGTGACTTTTTCCTTTTTCCGAAATTGAAAAATGTCTTATAAGGACATTATTTAGGAACTATGGAGAACACTCAAATGAATATGACAGACTGTTGGGAGGTCCTACCCCTTTTGAAACCTTTCAGCACTGTTACCAAGATTGGCAACAAGGACTCCACTGGTGTAAAGCTGCCAAAGGAAACTACTTTTAAGGGGACAATATTGTTTAAAAAAATATGAAAACTTTGATAGATAAAAAATAAGTCTCATTCCTTTCTTTACACACCTTGTATGTCATTGTAAGAAATGAGCAATATATTATTGCAGTAAAATTTGCTGGATTTTTTCTAAATTGTTTTCTTTGTTACTTTTGTTTCTTTAGTACTTTTGGCAATATCTATCTGCATAATGAAGTTAGACATTATTAAACCCATTTTAATTTTGCTTATCACATCTAACTATTATTGACAAAAAACATTTGTTTTTTTTTTAATAAATTTAATTTAACTCATACAACTGAAGGCTATATTGACGAACATTCAAAGCAGACCCTAAAGATCAACACTTAAGATCACAAAATCCTGGTTTTTACTCTTTCTTAAATAGTGATGAGTGAGCATACCGATACGTAAAGAAAGGGGTAACAGCAATTGCACAGAGAAAATAAAAAGCCATTACTTTCAAATATAAAAAATAGTTATAATATGTAAGCATCATAGATAGCATGGCATAAAGAAAAACACGAAGCTTAATCATTTTATAATTTCTTGGAAATGGCTATTTTAATTTCCTTTTCATTCCCTCACTATTTATCATTATATTAGTCTAATTTGTGGCTGCTACTTTGTGACATCTTTTACTGTTCATTTTGAAATTGTGCTCACCGCAATTTTTTTTTTTTACTATTCTACAGTCTTTCTTCTATAATAATTGTAAAATCAAATGAGAACTAATCTTGAGCTTTGCTACTCCAGTATCTGTTGTGTAGTACTGAATGCCTGCAATTCATTTTTTATACTTTGATCCTCCCATAGGTGATTTAAATTGAAGAATTTCATTTGATGAAGATTAAACTGTTTAATTTAATTGAATTATTTCTAGGATTCCTAAATTCACGAAGATATTAATTCATTGAATCTTGTTAAAATACTAATTGTATAGGACTTAATGTTATCCAACCGAAGACATTAATTCATCGAATTTTGTTAAAATACTAATTCTATAAGACTTAATGTTACCCAACCATCTACATCCAACCTCTTTGAATTTGATACTTAAATTGCTTGTTTATTAAACAACTACTGTGTTTATATAGATAAACAAATAAAGAAATGTTAGCATTCCCATGATTGGTTATATTATTTTCTACTACAGAATTAATTTTTTAGTAATACTTTTATATTTTTTGCAGTATCATTACTTATTATTTAAATCATTTCTGGCCAAAATCACAAAAAAAAAAAAAAAAAATTACTTCGTTTTATATCCTTTTATCATTGCCTATGTTTCAGCTTCATGAGCTTTGTTGAGTCATTTTATCCAATTTTTCTATTTTATCCATTATTATTCTATTCTCATTTTATCCAATTTGACTATTAGGTAATCGAATATGTGGGTTAAAAAAAGCCGTAATATAAAAAAAATTGCTTGAATACAGGTCATACATAAGATGGATGATTTTTATTTTAAAATAATAAAAATCTAATGAAGATAGCTTGTATTTGAAAATGGCTCATGAAGGTTAAACATTTATGATGACATGGGGATATTAAAGGAAACTATTTTTATTTAATTTAGTTTTTAATTGACCTTTGGCCAAAAATCATTTAAATTATAAAAATTTAATAATGTTTTAAAACATTATTTTTTTTGTGATTGGTTTTCAGGTGATGGGTATAATGAGGATTCCTCTCTATACGATGATTGATGGTTATAGAGGTTTCCCAGCATTCCTTGATAACTGCTTCATCGGTAACTCCAAAGAGCAGCTCATTTACACATTGATTCTTAAAGGAATCATGACAAAAGAAGAAATTGACAAATCATTAGAAGCGAAACCATCATAAATAAACCATCATTAACCACCAGTTTTAATAAATATTATAAAAAATAATAAATAAATAAAAGTTTTATCTTACCATTATAAAATGTAAATAATTTAAAAATTGGAATGAAAAATGGACTTTTCTAATTTTTATTTCATATTTTTGACCAGAAGATATGACTTATTTTTCTTTTAAAACTTTCCTATGAATAAACCAGTGTACTTAAGATATTTTATTATTCAAAATAGATGGTTAAGTTCAAAATTAAAGTTTTTTTGTATTATTGTATTTATTACCCCCAAATCAACATAATTATTCATTTATAATTGAATTGGTAGAATAATTGAGTACCTACTTGGATCAGCAATTGATAATCTATATGTGTTGGATTGCTTATTCATATTGATGTGATTCAGTGTTTTAATATGTACTGTTAATCACTGAGAAAATGTTTTCCAATTATAACCCATACTTAGTGTACGATCCAAGAGTCTTTCCTATTAGGGGAGGGGCATAATAAACAATTCTTTATAAGGCTCTATTTTATGATAAAAACTAAGACCAGAAATGAAGGGGGAGGGGAATGAGTTAAAAATATTAAATCTATAAAATATATGTTATTGTGGTATAGATCCCTTTTTACTTTCACTTACCTATATATGTAATATATAGAAAGTGTAAGTATTACGATCGTGAACATTTTTGAATCTGAGTTTTTAACGGAAATACACGTTTTGAGGTCCCCTGAGTCCAAATAACCAAGTCCCTAAAAATGGTCTGTGTGTATATGAACACTCTAGCTCAAAACCGAAAAGTTGTTCGAAACTTATTTTACATATTTAAGATAGATATATGCCTTAGATGTCCTGGCAACTTTTTCCTTAAAATCAGCTAACCGGAAGTGCCACTTTATATCAACGCTGAAACACATTTTTACAATCTCCTCAAAAACGACTCCAACGATTTTGATTAAACTCAGTTTATCATTGTATAATTAAGTGATCTTTAATATCATTTTAGTCTTATCTTCATTGATGTCACTTTACAGAGCTTAATTACCCAATGATCATATATGTCTCCCACTCAAGTACCTTTAATATGGTTTATTTTGAACAATTAACTATCTCTCATTGCTAGGAGTTATGAAAAAATGCTAAATATAACTTTTGAAAGAATTTTATAATTGAATAAAGGAGAAAAAAAAAGAAAAATGCTTATCTAGGTCGAGAAGGAATTGGCGGTTATTAGTTATTCTGTCTACTGAAAGGCTCAGAGGCAGTTATGTCGTTTACAAAAACAGATGGAGAATCAAGATTTTTATTGCCTACAGTCGATATAATAATTAGAGTTTATGATATTTTAATGGTATTAATGACTCGTTAGCTGTAAGCTATTGCTTTAGCTTGGTTAAAAATGCACTTCAAAAATTTTATAATATCTCAACATTGCCAGAAAATAATTTCTATTCAAAGTTGAGCGGTAAGTGAAAGTTGTGTCTTGTGCGCACTAGATTTTTTTTTCTCCTGTTGGCATTTAGACCTTGTAGATCTTTTGGCACCTTAACCAACCCTCTCTATTTCTGCCTATCTTGGGATATTTCTTTCCAGTTATCTGCATGCAAAACTATTAAATCTTTCTTGATTTGATCCATCCCTGGTTTTTTACCTTCCACTTGATCTTTTGCCTTCTATTGAGGCAATCATTGTTGTGGAGATCATCATATCGTGATATTGATTGACCAGTTTCTCTAAGCTCTTTTTATTAATCATTCTGCTCTATGCGTTAGTGTCCTGATCCCAGATCACTTCGGTTATCAAACAGAGAATTTTTCTCTCAAATCTTTCAATACTTCTTTCTAGGATGATGGATAGTGTCCATATTTCGCAGCCGTATATCAGAACTGCCTTTATCATAGCATCTGTACCCTTTGTTTTGTGTGAATGATATTATACCCGATCGTCGCGTTTCGGCGAGTAGTGAAAACAGATCGGAAAAGAGCTAAAAGATAAGATTTAATCCGCTCCAGCTACGGTACTATCACCCCATTCCAAGGCAGAATTTCCCGTAGACAACACCACTACCGGATCCAGGAATTAATTTTGGGAGGGGGCTTCAGCCCGAAAGCTTTTTTTCCATAAATATAACGATAATTACTTTGGAAAAATGAAAGAAACTAACTACCTACCTGAAATGGTATTTAATTGATTCTTAAAGTCCTTTTAAATGTAATTACACGAACATTAATACTGTAAGAGATAATTTTTAAATTTTTTTTTTCATAAAGCGTGGTTATATTTTACCATTTTGGGAGGGGTGCTTCAGCCCCAAAGCCCCTCCCCCATAGATCCGACCGTGGACAACACCTAGACCCACCTCTGTGAAGATGGCCCCCCATCCTCAATTTAAAAAAAAAAAAAATTGAGAGTTCTTATAGCCCCCCTAAAAGTTCTAGAGTTCCCTATAATTTTTAGAAATAGTTCTATTGTTTAAACCACCGAAAACACCACACAAAGTTACGAAAAACTGAAATCCCGTTTTATGCAATTTACAAGTCTTATAACTCCCTTCAATTTTATCAATTTTAGAGCTAAACATCATAAGGATAATTAAAAAACTCATTGAGGGGCTTTTAAAACTCTAAAAAAAAATTTTAAAAAACGTCCTCTCCCTTTTTTTGCCAAAAAAAGCTGCCCTAACAACTGAAAATTTTAAAATTATTATTGGAGTTCTAATAGCCCCCCAAATAGTTCCAGAGTTCTCTGGTATTTAAAAAAAAAATTATATTGTTTAAACTACAAAAATACCACGCAAAGTTATGAAAAACTGAAATCCCGTTTTGTGCAACTTACGAGACTTATAACTCTTTAATTATAAATTTTAGAACTAAAGTTCATTGAGATAATTATTAAAACTCCTTGGAGGGCTATAGGAAAACCCAACAGAACTACTGAAATCCAAAAAAAATTTCGACCAAAATTTTGATGTTACGTTTACTAAGTCCGAACGGTGAAAATTCATCTCGGAAAAAAATTATTCTGATTGGTGCTTTAATAGCTCCTCAGCGAGCTCAACCGATAATTATTGGTGTGTTGTGTGGTCGAAATTTTTTTTTGTATTTAAGGAGTTCTGATGAGTGTTCCTATGGCCCCTCCTAAGAATTATAAAAATTAATATAATGAACCTTTGCCCTAAAGTTGACCAAACAAAAGATATAAGCCTCGCAATTTGCAAAAAAATATTTTCGATATTTTGATGCTCGAAAACTTTTTCGTTTCACATCCTACATTAAAATACACCATTAATTATTGTTTTTGCTCGCTGAGGAGCTATTAAAGCACCAATCAGAATAATTTTTTTCCGAGATAAATTTTCACCGTTCGGACTTAGTAAACCTAACATCAAAATTTTGGTCGAAATTTTTTTTTGTATTTAAGGAGTTCTGATGAGTTTTCCTATGGCCCTCCAAGGAGTTTTAATAATTATCTCAATGAACATTAGTTCTAAAATTAATAATTAAAGAGTTATAAGTCTCGTAAGTTGCACAAGACGGGATTTCAGTTTTTCATAACTTTGCGTGGTATTTTTGGTAGTTTAAACAATAGAAATTTTTTTTTAAATGCCAGAGAACTCTGAAACTATTTGGGGGGCTATTAGAACTCCAAAAATAATTTTAAAATTTTCACTTTGAGGAGGGGCCTTTTTGGAGGGCATTTTTGGGAATTTTTTTTTAGAGTTTTAATAGTCCCCCAATGAGTTGTCTTAATTATCCTCATGATGTTTAGCTCTAAAATTAATATGAAAGGAGTTATAAGACTCGTAAATTGCACTAAACGGGAGTTCAGTTTTCATAATTTTTTCGTGGTATTTTCGGTTGTTTAAACAATAGACATTTTTTTTAAATACCAGAGAACTCTGGAACTATTTGGGAGGCTATTTAAACCCAACAAATAATTTCGAAATTTTCATTTTGGGCCCCCCGGTTTTTAGGGGCTTATATTTAATTTTTTTTACAGTTTTGATAGCCCTCCCTCTCTCCCCAGGAAATTTGTACAATTATCCCTTTGAAGTTTAGCTCTAAAATTAATATTAAAAGAGTTATAAGACTCGTAAGTTGCACAAAACGGGATTTCCGTTTTTCGCAACTTTGTATGGTATTTTCGATGGTTTAAACAACAGAACTATTTCTAAAAAGTATAGGAAACTCTAGAACTCTTAGGGGGGCTATAAGAACTCTCAAAATTTAACAAAAAAGTTGAGGATGGGGGGCCAACTTCACAGAGGTCCTAGACCCTGACTGCAGGGCCCTCATAATTATGTAAGACTAGTAGGCCCGTGCGAAAAATTCGCACAGCATATTGTTATCAAATGCCAAATTAATAAGAAAATAAAATAATGCAACGTATCAAAAGATAAAGGAATAAATTGTTACTTTATCCATAAATATAATCAACAAAGGGAACAAACTTAATTTAAATCTTCATTTTTGTTTGGAACCAACATATTTACAAATTTCAATAAGCTGTATCTTTGCGAAAAATTGTCCGATTTCAATGTTTTTTTTTTTTTCCTTTTGTAGACAATTGAGTAATGTTTTATATAATCATGGGAATAAGTGTGTAATTTTTTAGTTATTCGCTAATAAAGTTCCTTTTTTTTCATAACTTGTTTGCCTGAATTTTCGGGGTGTTAGGACTATTTTGCCCGCTTTAAGGAGAAGGAAGCCTTCGAAATTGGCGGCTCAATCTTGAGATTTGGTGAAGAATTAACGATGATATGACTTGCCGATCAAAAACACCATCGATAAATAATATAAACTCCTCCTGTCTCGATCATAAAGACCTCAAAGTCGACGAAATGAGACATGTATCCAATGACAGTACTACAATTAACGTCAGGTTGTGTGGATGCGAACCCCATGCCTTGCGTTATCTCGAAAATAGTACGTTTTTGGACTTAAAAACGCAGTATCCGATAGTTCCGGAGGAACTATCCGGGTCTTGCTGTCCGCATCAAAATCTTCAAGGTCCAATTTGTCGCGCATTGATCGACAGACCTACCACCGTTTCAGTATTGAAGCCTAGCAAAATGTATGCAAATTGTATCTACTTTATTTATTTTAGAAAGAAAAACAAAAGCGGAGAATACAATTCGCTAACGCCACGCGAAATTCTGAATCCAACGGCATCCCATTCATGGTATTTGAGTATGACAGGAGCTTATATTTGGTACAAAACCGATTTTGAGCCTTACTGTAATAATATATGTAAGGATGTATATACCAGCATTAAATGGTGAATTTTATTTTACACAATTCATCTAACATACCGCTTTAATCAAAACACATTCCACTGCCAAAATAATGTCGAATATTGTCTAAGTAGAATTCATTAGAGTTATTATCCTTTACTTTAATTAAATTGGAAAGTTACCTGAACACGCTGATACTTATTTGGTTTTTAAATATTTCGATAGCTGCCACTAGAACTATAATGCTCTGTTGTTTGTTCTAATAGCAATATTTTAAAAGGAAATCTTGAAAATGTGCTAGGTTTTCCTCATATGAATCCAACTCAAGGTTTCCCTTTGATTAGAATAGTCTTAATAATATAGTTACGTCGATCAGGCAATCGATTTGCATTATTAATAGTATAATGTTTCCTTGCCAATTTATTCGAAGAAAACTTGCCATTAGAAGTAAACATTGTTCTTATTCAATAATTTATTACTTGTATATAATAGTTACAACGGAATTTATTTTAAGAGATTCGTCCTTCATTATTGCAAAATAACTGACTTACCTTGTAACTAGTTTTTATTTCCCCTTTTTTACACTGTCTCGTGTTTGAATCTAGCGATTTTGACTAAACTCTTCGTAACAATGTACAATGTAATGGTTTTTAATGTAAAGTAGATCTAACTTTCATTGAAAAAGATTGACAGTGCAAATATGATGAATAATAGTGTAGAGATGGTTGGCCGTGATGATAATATGAGGAGTTGGTCAGGGATGGGGAGGGTAAGAGGGGTGACGTCTACCGACTGCTTCCTGCAGTGTCTGATACCACGCCCTGATGAAGAACTAAAAAGTGGGTCGAAACGTCCAAAATTATAAAATACTGTTTTGATATATATCATTCATTTGACCACACCTCCCCGACTAATTCTTTCTCAAATATGACGAATTTTCGAAATGACTAACGCACCAGTATATTGGAAACGATTAACAGTCTCTATTATTTTATAGTTATAAACAATGGATAATTATAAACTATGAAGAAAATTGATAATTAACAAAAGAAAAAACATTTTTCTCGGTTGAAAAAAAATTTCCGGAATAATGTATATCTTATAATACACCGTTGGAAAGCTAAAGGTTTTCGAAACGTTAAAATGTAATGTACAAAGTCGGATAAGGTAATGGAGAGTAAAGAAAAAAATATGATTAATGGTTTCTGAAAAGTTTTTTTTTTTTTTTGTCTATAAAATATGTATTTACGCCTGTCAACAATAAGTTGACAATCAGCAAATGTGATGACGATAATGATATAATGACATGACAGGCATGGGGAAGGAAAGTACTCAGCAGTACCTCTTCCCTAACTTGTTCCAATTACTTAGGTTGTCTAAGGAAGGAGATCCCTCATTCAACGCCTTTTTAGTCTCCTGCTCATGTTCTGAGGTATGTCAGCTGTGGCCATGTCTCTTATAAGTCTGTTATTATGTCCATTTAAATTTGTGTAAAATCGTTGATATAGGGTCGTTAAATGTTGGTCAACTGTTGGAAAGTGGAGGTCAGTATGTAGAGTTTTGTTAATCACGTACCAAGGTTCTTTTGTTATGAGCCGCAATAATTTTGATTGGAACGTTTGAAGTTTTTGTAGGTGGGTCTTTTTAGCGATGCCGTATATTTGTGATGAGTATGTCCATATGGGCTTAAGTAAGTAGGTATATGTATTCAGTATATGTTTTTGTTTTAGTTTTGAAGGTTTGACAAAAAGAGAGTAAAGTAGTTTGAGTCGTTTGTTAAGTGTCAAACGTTTCATTTTAACATGTGGGCCCCATGTCATCCCTTGTTGAAGGTGAGTCCAAGGTAAAGTACAGTGTCCGTTTGAGGAATTTGATTGTTGTCAATATAAACTGGAGGACAGGTGTTTTTTCGAAGAGTAAATGTTATATGTTTGGATTTTTCATGATTAAGTCGAATTTTCCATAGTGTGAACCAATCTTGTAGTTTAAGCAAATGATGTTGTAGAGTTAGTGAGGCCTGTGTAGGGTCTTGATGTTTTGTGAGGATTGTTGTATCGTCTGCATATGTAGCTGTCAAGATCTCATCGTCAATAGGTATATGTTAAAAAACAATTTTAAAGTTTATATTTATTGTGAAAATTCCATTTAATTTCCTTGGAAACAGGTGATTTACGTTAAGTAATGTAAAGTTAGTATTCAGATTTTATTATTTATATTTTTTTCGTCACTCTCTGTTACCTTCTACAACTGTATTTATTAGATATTACTTTTTATAATTTTTTTCCGCTTTCCAACGATAGATTATAGGTATACCTTCTGATTATTTCCGCCGATTCATTTTCGAATTGGATAAGCATTTTTCTTTTTTTTCTCCTTTATTCAATTATAAAATCCTTTCTGAAGTTATATTTAGCTATGTTTTATAGTTACTGTCCATAAGAGAGAGAGATATTTTTAAAAAACAAACCAAATTAAAGGTACTTTAGAGGAAGACGTATATGAACATTGGATGTTTAAGCCTAATAAAATAAAGTGACATGAATGTGGATAAGACCTAGCTGATATTAAAAACAACGTAACAATACACTGATGTATCGAGTTTAATCAAAATCGTTGAATCACCGTTGATATAAACTGGCACTTTCTGTTAGCTAATTTTAACGAAAAAGTTGCTGTCACATCGGAACCTTATAAAAATCTTAAATATGCAATTTAAGGTTTGAACCACATACAAACCATTTTACGGAATTTGGTTATTTCGGCTCAGGGAACCTCAAAACATGTATTCCCGTTGAAAACTAAGATTCGAAAATTTTCACGATCCCAATACTTTACCTTAATATATATTGCATATATAAATAAGCGAAATTAAAAAAAAAAAAAACCTAAACAGATTTAGAGGTTGATGTTCCAATTAACAATAATTAAATAGGATAAAAAATTATTATTTCTACAAATACATATACATATTGATTAATCGTCTATTGCTTATAATTCCTATTAAATGTTTTATTTGTTTGCGGGAAACCTTGCTATTCCACGTTGTGAATATGTCGTTTTTTAAGGTGAAGCTGATTACTTTCAGGAAAAAGAAACACAAAAAAAAAAAAAGTAATATGTAATTTAGTTTTTCATATTTTATGAATAGTGGTGGGGAGAGAGACATATATACCTTCATAGTCGGACAAGGGTAGATTGTGAAAAATGATGATCGTTATTTGGGGTTTGAGCTGTGTCCTTATGGTAGTATTCGTCAGGTTCCTTGTCAAGAATTGGAAGCCATCTATGTTACCTGGGCCTAGAGGATTTCCGTATTTTGGAGCCGCCTTCAGCGTGGTAGGAATATCTTCTAAAGGTAGTTGAAGTAAACACGTTTTACATAAAATCTCTTAAATACACTAACATGCAATACCTGTTCCACATGGAATGTAACTGGTTGCAAGGTGGTTCACTTTATAAAGAGCTTCTTGTAAGTAGAGGGAACATTTGAAGAGTTGGTAGTAGACCTCAATATTTACAATTCATTTTTTAAGTAACTAAAGTTTTTTTTTAAATAGGAAGTGACAACCAAAAAAGTATTTGATTTAAGTAATTACCCATTACTTCATACTAAACTAGATAAAATTTATTTCAAATACGGTGAAGTATGCCATTCGTAAAATAATTTAAAGAATACTTTGGATCGGTTGAACTAAGCTACTTTCTGTTTTTAAAAAAAATCAAGAACGATTTGCCACTTTTTTTTTTTATTATCTTCTAACTACAGATACTTCGCTTCTAGAAAAACTTTCTTGTTAAATAAGCTTTGAGTTCATATTAATCAAGTTAAAAGTTTATTACAGAATAAGTTGACATTCATCTCAAGTTGTGTAAAAAAAATGATGTGATTTGATATCCCGTAACCAAAACGTACCCGTGTTCTCAGCAAATATAACTACAATAAATGATTACAAAGATTTAATTTCTTTTTTTCCCCATGTTGTATAAATACATTTTTTAAATTAAAAGTTTCCGGCTGCTCCAACACTTACTAGTCAAACGCTCTAAACTTTCAATTAATTACAAAAGACTCATCTATTTAACCATAATAAGACCTAGATGGATGTACGGAATTGAACTTTGGTGCGGTACCAAACCATAAAATTTCTATCATATCAAATCCTTACAAAAATATCCTTTATAAAATCCTCAATGCTCCTTACTTTGTCACTAATAAAATTATCCATAAAGATCTTAATGTTCCTTATGTTTCAGATTTGGCCCAATCCAGATACCTATCCTTCCATAATAAACTTCAGAATCATCCCAACCCTCTTGTTTCTAACCTTGCTTCCTCATCAATTCCTGATAGGCGTCTGAAAAGAAGACGGCGGTCTCGTGATTACCTATAATTAAATAGGGAGTGCTACAACTGGGCAGTATTTCTTCAAGTGTGGTAATGTCATTATTTCTAATGTGTGCATTTTTACTGTTTTTTTTTTGTTTTTTTTTTATACAGTTGTAAATTTCATTAAATAAATAAATATATTAAAAAATGTTAAAAATAATGGCATTTATAATACTTTGCATCTAAAGTAATAATGCAACTGTGATCTTTATTAAGATCTCTATTAGAGGAATTGATCTATATTTATAAGTGAGCAAATAAATATTTCCAACCCTGATATTTATGTTTAAAGTAAACAAAACAGCTGATTGTTAGAATTATCATCATGAAAACGTAATTACTAGAACATAGCAATGACAAACTCCACTTTCACTTAAGTCAATTACTTCACTATGATAAACAATGTAATGCTGCTTACTTCCGATTCTCACAGGTCGAGGTCTGTCACATACAAATAGGGTCTTAATATATTTATAGTGAGTTGCAGGAACTTACGGCTGATACCCAAAGGTTCCAAAGTGTTGAAAATCTCTGACCTACATAGTCCAACTTTGTGTAAGGCGATCACAGCTGTTCGTTTTTTGTTATCACCCCACTCCATGTTAACTGAGAAAAAGAAAAATACAAACTAATTTGGATTATTATCCTGACACGTAAAGAAAATATTCTGATAGAGGTAAGGATTGTGTAAATAATATCCAAGGATGTAAACAAAGTTCAACTTTTGTAACAGTATTTATGGCAGAACTAGGTATATAGTTATTTAAAAGTTTATGATATTTCTTTAAAGCAAAAAAAAATTGTCAAAATCGGCCTATTTGGGGCAAAGATATGGTCTCTAGATATTTTGTATATGTTCTACTGCAAAGGCTATATCCTTTGTTTTGGATTTTGATTTTTGAATGTATTACTGAAGTAATGACATGTTTTTTAGTAAATTATTAATGATGAAAAGAAAACAGTTTAGGCTAATAGCTGTAATAACCTTTTACTTCTTTTTCTTTGTCACAAAGAAGATAATGTTATTTTAGATGTATAGTTGTTTGGAAATAATAAACCATTGTAAAATAATTTGCAGCGTTTTTTTTTATTTATTTATTTATTTTTTTACGGTGAGGGGAATTTAATTTTATTTTTAGGAGGATTTAACACTGTTCTATTTATTCATTTTAGGTAACATATTTCGAAATAAATACCACCTTATAATGTTAACGTATTTTATTGGCTTTATGAAAGTAAAAACAATCAAATAGGAAAAATAAATATTTTTTTATCTAATTTAAAAATAAATTTTACTTCGCAATTTGCCATTCCACAGTTCCCTGCGTACTTTTAAATCATGAAAAATGCTCATTAGAATAATTGACAAAACAAGTAAAATAAAATAAAGCAGTATTTTCTTGAAGCATTTTTGCACCGATTTCACTAATATTTCTTATCCATTTATATCATATTATTTTTTCATTATGATTCAATCCGTCTTTTTGTTCTAGATATCATTCCCCTTATAATAAAATGGTGTGACGAATATGGAAAAATGTTTGGAGTGAAAATGCTTGGTGCAAATTATGTATTTGTGTCTGAACCAGAACTTGTGAAGGTAAGGTATGACTACCTATTTATAATTAACATCTGTGTATTTACTCAGTAAAATTATTATAAATAAACTAGTAAAAATATGTAAGACGTAGGTTGCAATGTATGTGCGATAAGTATGTCTCCACCATGTTCCAACCGTACGACCTGATAAGTCAAAATATTCAGTAAGATATTACCTTTGTACACCTGTGATTGGCAATAAATAAAATAATAGAGATTTAGCATTTTTATCCTGCATTCCACCAATTAGACATACAAATAAAAATATCAAGTCGGTAACACGATACTCTCGGGATAGAAACGCGATACTTATATAATTATATATATAACCCGATACGATATATATAATTATACACGATCGCAATAGGTACAGAGAGGTCTGTGTTATCTTTAAATAAATAATCAGTATATGTTCAAGTAGATTGGTTCCTTCAGGGACCCATACAATATAGATAGAAATACTAAAAACTTTTATATTATATTATAATTATTATTTAATTATAAAAATTATTTAGTAATAACTTATCAAATGTACTTATTATGAAATATCTTTCTTTCAGCCACTGCTTACCAGCTCCATAAATATTACTAAAGGCCGTTTCGAGTACTCATTCTTGAAGTTAATTTTCAACGATGGACTTATAGTTTCAGATGGTTAGTCAATCAGCTCATTTCATTACTTTTATTCAACAGTTCTATGTGTAATTGATTTTGTAAGGCAACAATAGGAGAATGAATTAGAAGTCCAAATTAGTTCAACCTTCAAACTTCAAACATTAACCAAATATGTTTCTTTCCAGAAGGGACAATATTAACCCCATCTTCTTTCGAATTACGCCAACCATACCCAATAAAAGTCCAAATTTTGTAATTATATCTTGATAATGAATGAAACTATCAAAGAGAAGAATCAAACATTTTTTCTCAAATAATTACAAATTAGTGGAGTTTGTTTGTTATATTGTAATATCTTCTCATAAATCCATCTTCTTCACTTCTTAGAAATAAAATATAATTTTAATATTGCAAAACTTTATATCATTAGAAAAATGAAATTAACTTTCTAAGATTATTATTAACAATTTAGTAAAAAAATAATACCTCAGCGCCAGTCATTGACTAAAACTTTTTTGGAATTTATGTAATAATATTTATATACTGGTGGACCAGGTTACACTAATACTTACTTACTATGCAGCTCTACAGCCCAGGGTGGGCCTTGGTTTTCTGAATCATAGCATGCCAATCATCTCTATTGCTCGCCCTTTCCTTCCAGTTTCTCACACCCAGTGTTCTAAGATCGCTCTCAACGTCTTGTTGCCATCTTTTCCCTGGTCTTCCCTTTGTTTTTGTGCCTTACTTTGTAGTGAACAATGCCTTACAAGGCATTCTGCTGGAGTCCATTCTAACCACGTGGGATAACCATTTTATACGCCTAGTTTTAACGAAATGGACTATATTTCCGCTATTATATAATTCATATAGCATTTTTTTCGATACCTCCTCACACCCCCTTCACAAACAGTTCCATTAATTCTTCTCAATATTTTTTTTTTAAAAATAATCAGCATACTAATTGTTAACGCCGCATACTCTCATATCTTTATTTTTTTCACCATTCACCCCTTTTTAAATGTTAATACTAAAATTGTTTGTTTATTTTTTTGTTAAAAAGCTGAGGGATAGTGTTCCAGAAATGTTTTTAAGTTTATAGTATTTATATATTTAGGTTTATTTGTGATGTATTATCGCACTTGTATATACACACCAGCCCGGCAGTAATAATGAGTCTTAAAGATTAAGACACAAATACTGCGATAAAACAGCCGAGATGCGTTCTAAAGTCAGTCTGGAGCGATCTTTCGTTTAAGTTGCATCCACGTGTTGAACACTATTTTCACCAGCTCCAGGCTCGTCTCCTCTCGTTTCATCTCACCTGCGCCAGCCTAGCGCCATTTGAAGTCATCTACAGTCATCGATGAAGATCGATATACATCCCCCACCACTGCCTTTAACATTAGCTGAAAACCACACAAATAAAATGGTGTGACAAATATGGAAAAATGTTTGGAGTGAAAATGCTTGGTGCAAATTATGTATTTGTGTCTGAACCAGAACTTGTGAAGGTAAGGTATGACTACCTATTTATAATTAACATCTGTATTTTTAATCAGCAAAATTATTATAAATAAACGGTTTTTTCTCTCACCGTTTCCAAAGACATTTTAATTTAGTTAATATTTTTCTTCACTTCAATTTTTTTCTTGGATTTATTTTTACTGAATGTATTTTTTCTTTAATTTTGATATATGTTTTATTATGATGGACAATGTTTTTCATTTCTCATTCAATATTGTCTTTATGTTTTAAATCTTGTATGTATATATTTCATATTTTTTATTTCAATTCAATAAATATTGTAAACATTTAATAGGGGATTTTTTCATTTGTTTATCTCAATATATTTAATTAATTGAGTAATAATAATAATAAGGCTTAGCGAACCCGAAGGTTCGATGCCGACACCACCAATCGCTTATTACACACCTCCCTCCACCGTTCGCCGTCCAAACCCAGTCCCTTCAGATCGGCTTTAATGCAATCTTCCCACCTTCGCTTCGGTCTACCCCTTGGACGCCTACCATTCGGCACAGCAAATATTAACCTTTTAGAAATTCTCTCGTTACTAAGCCCAACAACTTTACAAGCCCATTTGATTCGCCGCGATGAAATTACCTCAATTATATTACCCGGATACAGCTCACGCAATTCGGCGTTGTGTAACCGTCTGAACTCTCCGGTTAACTCATCCTTCTTCGGTCCGAATATTCTACGCAATACTTTATTTTCAAAAACCTTAAGACGCTGCTCATTCCTTAATGTAAGCGGCCAAGTTTCGCACCCATAAAGAACTGTAGGCAAGATAATTGTTTTATAGATTCTAATTTTTAAGTTTCGGGACAAGAGGCGCGAACTAAGTAGTTTTGTCACAGAAAAATAACAAGCATTTCCCGCCTTCAGTCTAACCTTAATCTCTTCTTCAATTTCGTTTTTTCTAGTTATCGTAGAACCTAGATACCTAAATTTATCTACCTGTTCAAACATATTACCATCTATATCGATATCACCAGTAGTATCGCCATTTTTGCAGCTAACCATATATTTTGTTTTATCCACGTTTATTTCGAGTCCTAGTTCTTTACCGGCTTTCATTAACGTTGTCGTATTTAGTTTTATAGTTTCAACGTCTTCGCTTAACAGTACCAGATCGTCAGCATAGCCCAGCACGGATGTTGTCCCGCCCAGATCCAACCCTTTCTCGGTTCGCATTACCTCCCTAATGGCATGTTCTAATGCCAAATTGAACAGGACAGGCGAAAGAGAATCCCCCTGTTTTAAGCCCGAACGAACCTCAAATTTTTCGGACAAATTATTACCGATTCTAACTTTATTGAGTGTCTCCGTCAAGCACATCCTGACTAGATTTACTAGTTTTTTTGGAATCCCCTGCTCGATTAGAATATTATACAGTTTCTGGCGGTCAATAGAATCGTAAGCCTTTTTAAAATCTATATACAGCTGCTGAACAATTCCGTTATACTCCAATTTTTTCTCTAATATTTGCCGTAAAGATAATATTTGATCAATTGTCGAACGATTCCGTCTAAATCCGCATTGGTAGTCTCCGATAATTTCCTCGGCGTATTCCGTGATTCGACTGGTTAAGATTGAAGTGAATATTTTATAACATACCGGAAGGAGTGAAATTCCTCGATAGTTATTACAATCCGTCCTCGGACCCTTTTTGTGAATCGGAATAAGAATAGATTCTTTCCATTCTTCAGGTAATTTCTCGTTCACCCAGATCTTTTTAACCAACCCATGTATTTTAGAAACTCCAGCTTCCCCGCATGCCTTAATTAGTTCAGTAGGAATATTATCGATTCCCGCTGCTTTATATAAATTAATTGAGTAATTTTATAATATTTTTAATATGCATGCATTTTTTATGTTTTACAGGTCTCATTTTTACTCTTTTCTCCTCTTCTTTCCCACCATTTAATTTTGCTCGAATTTTCCCCACCTTTGAGGAAACTCACCGGAGAAAGGTTTGTATTTTAATTTTGAAGTACCTCTGGTCCCACCACTAATTGTATTTGCACAAAGGGTCCATGTCTCAGATGCATAAACCATAATGGGTCTTACTAAAGTCTTATCTTTGTTTCTCGTGAGAGAAGCGATGATCGAAAAAATTTTAGGTTGGTATAGTACGTCCGGTTTCCAGCCATGATCCTCTTGAACACTTTAACAGCAATTTTATTTTCAGAATTCACTTCCACCCCCAGGTACGTGAATTTTTTGACACACTCGAAGGTGAGACCACATATTTCAATGCTCTGTGGACCAGCCTCATTGTCGGTCCCGACATACATGTATTTTGTCTTATTTTGGTTAATTTCCAACCCAACATTTTCGCTTTCGGCTTTCAATATTGCGAAATATTTACTTTATTACCCTTAAATTTCTGGTAATTAGGCTTATATCGTCTGCGTAAGCACATTATTTGCAAGTATGCAAGTATGCAACAAGATGAATCCAGTTTTTTCAAAACATAGCATATTAAATGCAATATTAAATAATGTGGCAGACATAGCATCCCCTTGCCTAACCCCATCCGTCTTTTGAAAGTTATTGCTTACATTGCCTTTAATAATTACTTTGCATTGCTATTATTTATTATTTATTATAGTTACATTAATTTGTAACATAAAAAAATATTTAATGCATTAAATTAAATGTATTGGATATATATTTATTTCAGTGGCCACGTTTCTTTTTCTATATTACTGAGTATTTATAGTTATGTGCCAATTAGAAACAAATCGATGACTTCGGTTCTACCACAAAATGGAAACTAGACTTAACAATGGCATCAATTACCGTTTTTCATATTTATTTATAAGGTTGTTCGACCATGTTAGATTGTAATTCAATTAATAATAATAATATTTTTGCAAACAGGTGAAAAGTGGCGTTCAAACAGGAGATTACTGACACCTAGTTTCCACAACAAAATACTGAAATCATCAGTAGAAACTGTAGGCCGAAACGCAGAGGAATTCGTTTCACAATTATTGGCTTCTGATGGGAAACCGATTGATATCGAAGATACAACACATTTGTTGACCCTTAAAATAATTTGTGGTAAAATAATTCAAATCTACATATTTTAATCATCATTTGAATCATTTATATCAAAATTCTATTAACAAATCAATATTTTTTACTTAATTATTGCTATGTTGCATTTCAGAAACAGCGATGGGTGTTAAATTGAATACTAAAGACAAACAACAAAATGAATACGTAAAAGCTTCAAGAATGTAAGATTTGCGATTAGATTTTATTAGAAACAGTACTTTAAACAAACAAATCTCAACTACTATATTTATATTTCTCACAAACGTTTCGGCCTACATTTACTCATCCACAAGCGGAAGAAGTAGATGGAAACCGATACGGGACTTTTTTGGTACTAAGCCACACGATCCATATAAATTTCTTCAAAATCGTTTTAATGGTAATATATCAAATGGATTTGGCTACATAAATACCGGCAGACACGGAATCAAATATGGTATTTGATGTCCTAAACGTAAAACGTGAGTGAAAATTATAATTTACCGCACTATTACAAAGCTTCTCTGCCTGAGAAAGCAATAGTAAAAAAATTAAAGTTTTAGTCTGTAATTTTTATCTTGGTCTACTTTCGAATATTTTAAAACCCAATCGTTATAAAGCTGACATTTATACCATTCCAGCCAATTTAATTTTTTGTTGCATAACTTTAATTCTTGAGAATTTAATTTAATTTTTTGTTGCATAACTTCGATTCTTGAGAATTGATGTACCAATGAATGCACAAATCTTGATGGTTTCAGTCTACTGAAAAAATTGAGTTGTGAGTTCTTTTCAATCCCCACTTATCTGATCTTCTCAACTTGAGGTGGCGCAATCTATTGGGATAACTAAGAAGCTGCTTCTGTGAATAACATCGGATCCTAAGATACAACGATATGCCGTGGAGCTAGCTCAGTATCCTTGTCATGAAAAGGGAGGTCAAGGGGTGGCCACCCCCCTTCCGTCCGCAAGCACGATGGCGCAAGGACCTACCCTCTTCCCTCTTTCCTCTTTCCTTCCCTTCCTCCCAATCCCAACATATTTTATTGCTCATTTCTTCTTAAAAATAGAAAGAAAAGAAAGATAAATGTATTCTCTAGATGTTTTATTTCTCGGCGTTTTTCGTTATTGTTGGTCGATTAATTACAAACGACGCTTGATTTTCAACCATAGTTTGAATGAATTGAAAAAGTTGACTTTACTGGTATTTTGAAGTATTGAAGGTATTTGATATTTGGTATTTGAAGGTATTTTATTGCCAAGGCCAATTACATTTTAATTTTTTTTTTATGCCTTATTATAATCTGACTAGTCAGATTTACTAAATGACCAATTATGACGAAATTAAGCCAATTACTGAATCTCAGTGACCGAAAAACTAACTCAAGTCAAACAGATTTTCGTCACAGCCATATTTTGACGCCAGTTTGGCCGAGTGCGGCCATTTTTTTGTGAGAACATTACCTTTTTTAAATATATAGTTCAAGAAGCACAACGATATGCAATTTATAGTGATGTGATACGGTAAAGGAGGTCTGGCCCTCAGACTACCCTCTTCCCCCAAATCTTCCCCTCCCCCCACCAACACCCCTTCCTCGAAATATTAAAATAAATGAACATTTACTTCGCTGATTCACATCAGACAGATTATTGAAGTTAAAAGACAATTGCGTATGATCAAACATGAAAAATAATTCATACGGAAAATAAAATAGTTTAAAATTTCCAGGATTAATTTCCCATTATAATTTACAACTGAATGTTCTGTTCTTTAGCTATTGTTATCGATACAAAATATATTACGATACAAATGAATGTCCCCATGACTGACTTCTTTGTTATAATTATTTTACATCACTATTTGGATGAAAGCTTCATTAAAAAATCCGATTGCTCCGTGGTTAAGAAAATGGAAGAGATTCTTTAAATAATTTTATAATTGATTTTTGTCAATTTCGAAGCCACAGAGTTATCAGTTCAGTTAATTTAATTCAAATTGCAAAAAATAAAAAATAAATCACGCCAAAAAGCCAATTACGGTATTATCATGTTTCATCATTGATATGGCCTAGAAAGATACACTTAAAAGGTGTTTGATCTTTAAATTTAAATTTGATATACTAACTAATTCAAATAACCTTAGTTTTATTTGATTTTCAGATGTCACGACACTCTTGTGTATAGATATCTCAGGTTTTGGCTATTTCCCGATTTTATTTTTCGTCGCTCTGATGTTGGTAAAAGATTTATCAAGAGTCTAAAGCTTATTCACGAAGTAGCAGATCAGGTAAAATTATTTTGTAGTTCGTAATATATCTGTGGCCCGGAAGTAAAAAACAGTATGTCCATTTTTGTATTTGTTCAGCTTAGCTAATGTTCCATAACTTTGAGCTAATAAGATTTGTTTCTTACTCACTAAATCTGTACTCCGGAGGTAAAGAACACCCTGTAAAATTTTCGTGGTTGACAATTGGAGTTAGTTAAGAACAATTTTAGTTATATATTTCATTTTTCTTATTTAACATAAATTCGGTAAAAACGTAGATACATGTGTAAATCATTTACCAATTCTTAGTCACATTCTACGAATTTCTTATCTCTCTATAGCTCCTCCTTTCGTCCCTTGTTTTTCATAACCAGGGCTTTCAATATTTTCGGTAAAAACGCCATCCTAACCTCTACCTACTCTACGGCTATGATCTCCTCTTATTCTCTGTTATCTTGTTGTATGGGAGTAGAAGCACGTAGAAGGCCTACATACTGCCTCTTCGTCTGGCATGGCTGTCACTTTTCTCGGAGCATTTGCAATATACCTCTTTCGTGGACCACCAGCCCCCCACCCTCCCAAAAGCCTTGTTCAACATATTTTTTTACAACAGTCCACGGCTTTTCTTTCTCAGCTTGGATCAGATTCAACAAGCTCCGCTTGACGCGACATACTATAGGTCTGCTTTCAACCCGACTGCTTTATCTAAGATTTTTTTTTGCCTTATAGATGAACGGGGTTTTTCATGGACCAAAGGAGAGGGCGATTTTGTTGTTTGCAGTACAATGTTTCCAGCTCTTCTATAGCCAACAATCTCAATTAACTGTTAGCTAGTAATTATTTCATATAAATTATTTTATTATTAAGTTTCTTCGCCTGTCAAATTAGTGTAAAAAAGTTGGAATATTAGCTCTTCCAATAGGGGAATATCATACAGGTAGGTAAATAGTAATAATTAGATAAACTTTTAATAAATAAATAATATCCGTACGGCAGAAAAAGTTATCGTATTATTTATAAATCAATTAAGTCCAGAAAGTGTTCTTTCATAATGCATTCATAACATACATAAATTATCCAAAGTAAATTTAAAAAATATTCACATTTTTGGCAAATAGCAAATTTTAATCCTCTTATATTCACACGTAGTCATAAAGCCCGTCTTCCAATGAAGTCTAAACTTAATCTGCTTTATACACTCCAGATCTTACAAAATATTTTCATCATTTTTAGGTAATAAAAAAAAGAAAAGAATTATACATTGCTGAAAAGAATGAATCTAAGAACGAGGATTCAAGAAAAAAAGGTATCAGTATATTAGTTTATAACAGGCATATTTCTAAATTGTTAGCAAGAACTTTAATTTAGCAAAAAAAAAAAAACAGTAAGAAAGAAAAATTATGGAAATATTTCTGTGAGCAAATTATTTCATTTATATATTCATAAGAGACATTGGAATAGATTATGTGCGACATGTGACTTGGGATTTTAAATCATATAAAAGTAAAATTTTTTTTTTATTTCTTACTGACATTTACAACTGTATTACATAAATAAATCTAGTAAATTTGGACATGATAGATATAATGGCATGAATACACTTGCTGAGTAACTACCCAATGGTAGCACTCTATTGATATGACTACATTAGGAGATCACGGGGCCATCTTCTTTTCAGACGCCTCGGAGGGTTATCAGGAATTGAAGAGGAAGCAAGACTAGAAACGAGAGGGTTGGGATGATTCTGAAGTTTATTATGGAAGGATAGGTATCTGGATTGGGCCAGATCTGAAACATAAGGAACATTAAGATCTTTATGACTAAATTTTATTAGTCACAAAGTAAGGAGCATTTAGGATTTTACGAAGGATTTTGGATTGTAAGGATTGGATGCGAAATAAATTCGATGGTTTAGTGGAGCCCCATAGCTCAACTCCGTAAGTCCAAATAGGTCTTATTATAGTCAAGTATATGAGTCTCTTGTAATTAATGGGAAGTTTAGAGCGTTTGTCTAGTAAGTGGTGAAGTAATCGGAAACGTCGAGCGGTTTCTTGTCGTTTCAGTCTAGTATAAGGATTCCAAGTCAGTCGCTTGTCCAGGAGAAGGCCTAGGTGTCGGATTTGCTCAACATGGATTAGTGGAGTATTGCTAAAGAAAACTGTAGGACAGGCAGTGGTTGGTTTACGACGAAGGGTAAAGGTAATTTGATGGGATTTATTGGAGTTTATTTAATTCTCCAGGTTTGACACCATTCTTCAAGATTTATGATGTGTGATTGAAGCATTTGGGATACAATTGATGGATCAATATTTACTGATAGGATACATGTGTCATCGGCATATGTGGTGATGACAGTGTTGGGATAGGTAGGGATGTCAGCTGTATAAACTGTATAGAGGATAGCACCTAGGATACTAACTTGAGGAACACCAGCGGACTGAGTAAAAAGGGATGAACAGGCAAAAAGTAAAATTAAATTTTTTTAAACAAAAAATGTAACATAAGTCGAATAATTAAAATGTAAGAAAAATACATTAAAAATTATTGTTAAAAAAAAGTATTAAAAAATATAAAATAAAAAGGGCACCACTGTCAAATTATAAAAAAGAAAAACTAAACTGATGATTATTCTGAAACCTGAAATGTATGGATCCATCTGCAGAATTTGCTGAACTTTCTCTGCGTAACACTAGTGGCTCTATGTCAACAATAATATATTTACCAAATCCTTGTTCATTGTCTTCTGTGAATATCTACGTGTTTGAAATTTTGTTAATCGACTTCTGCTCACGTGAAACATTACCCACCAAAAAGAAGGATCATGAATTCGGATAAACATAAATTATTTATTAAATAAATAAGCCAAGTGGTTGAATTTCTTAAACTTGCGTTGATGTTACAGAAAGAAACGCTTTCCTGGATAATTTACTCGAGTTGGTTGACTCCAATCCAGATTTATTCAATGAATCTAATATCAGAGAAGAAGTAGACACCTTTTTGATTGCGGTAAGTGTATAATATATTATAGTATTTTTCGGTCTTTTCATAATTAAAATTTCTTATGAATAAGTATCTCGGTCGATCGAAAAAAAATAAATAAATAAGAAATATATATATATATAAATGTAAAACTTATAAATGTAGATAACGAACTATGGTTTATGTGTCTCTTCATTGTCATAATAATATTATGCCTAAAATTATTCAATTTAATTTTAGGTATTAAGATATTCTTTGTTATAATTGTATATTTTAATACATATATTTATTTGTGCATAGTAAATTAATTCAACACAATAATTGTAAAATATGAATAAATGTAAATATAATTTTAAAAATAATAAAGATTATATTACAGGGTCATAATCCGTCTGCAGCAACTCTGAAGTTTTTACACTTTATACTTGCCAACCGTCCGGATGTTCAGGTATGTTTTACATTGTTCAACTAAAGAATAATTATGTAATTTATATAGAAATTCGAACACAATTTAATTTATTTTTCTAGAAAATAAGAACTTTTGGAATGTCCCATTTACAGATTAGGTAATATATTTTCATAAATACCGCAATGAATAATAATTCAAAAATGATAAATTGTTATTCTGGGTATAAATTTCCATTTAAGTCTGCTATTAGGTTTCGTAAGGTGGTGAGAGTTTTCTGCTCTAGTGACATTTTCAGAGACACTAATGCTAATCAATTAACCAAATAGAGGTTAATCCTTTGAGTCAACATTTTCTTCTGATTCTATATAAATAACCCTCCATTACCCACCAAGTCATTCATAGTAGACAGTTAGATGTAAAAAAAAAAAATTAAAAATAATATATTACTTATTATGTAAGCATCTCGAGAACTTAGATTAATTTTTTATATATATTTGTTCACACCATAAACCAATAACAAACCAATTAATTAATTAAAATAACTGTAATTATCATTTTAGCAGATTAATAAAGATTTTAGATTTTTTCTGAGGTATTTCCATTACTGGTACCGACCCCATGTCCATCACTATAACAATTGAATTTCGGGGTGCCCATCACTAGTGAAAAACGATGTATTTTTTAAATGGAGATTATACCGGCAAAACTGAATATTTTTTTCAATTTTAAAGTGTTAAATAGAAAAAGAATTCTCTTGAGATTCTAAATGTTCAACGTAGAAGTTTATAACTAAAATAATTACGGCGGCATAAGCCAAAATAACCAAACTTTCCTTAGCTATGTCTATCACTGGTGCGCTTGCCCTGCAATATATATATAAATGAAAAAGGATATTATTTTTAGGAAAAGTTATATGATGAACAAGTGGATATATTTGGAGATAGCAAAAGAATGACAACGGCCCAAGATCTTGAGAAAATGACTTATCTCAAGATGGTGATCAATGAAACACTGAGACTATATCCAACTATACCGTTATATAGCAGATGCTTAAAAGAAGATCTACTAATCGGTATTTATGTATATATACTCTTCTAAATTAAATAAATAAAGACAAAAATTTATTAATTTATTATTTTTTTATTTGTGTAGATGAAAAAACCATCATTCCAGCGGGTCATACTGTTGCAGTGTTTACTTACGCTGTTCATCGATCTAAGAAGCACTGGGACAATCCAGAAGAATTCATTCCTGAAAGATTCGCTCCAGGGATTGAAATACACCCATTTTCATTTCTACCGTTTTCAGCTGGCCCGAGGAATTGCATAGGTAATTCTGTAAATTGAAGGTTTAACTCCTGACAGATTGAATTTATTGATTGTTAAAATTTTAAATATTTTTACAGGCCAAAAATACGCAATGATGGAATTGAAGATAATCATATCGACACTAGTGCGGCAGTGCTGGCTAGAACCAGTCACTACTTCGGTATCTTTGGATTATGGTATTACATTAAACCCAGTAGAACCGATAATCGTTAAGGCCATTCCAAGGAACGGGACCCGAAGAATGATACCCGAGAGGAATAGCTAAGATTTTTAAGTAAAAGAAAGTCTTACATCTATTTATTCATGAGGGAAGACCTAAACTTGAAACGTCCTCTTATTAAGGCTATACCTGTAACGTTCAACAATGTTTATTTTATAACAATATCACAAACATTTTTTTCATTATTATTTATTTCCTTTAAATCCTCGAAAATGCCCAATGGAAAATTACATTAAGGCTCTAAAAACCGATAATCATTTTGTCACAAGCGACATCCTGCAAATTGAATTTGGTCTTCGCATTCATCGATTCCTAACGAATAATCAAATAACTATATTGATTTTTTAAATTTTTATACAAGGCAGATCATGATGGATTTTTAAAACGGAGACATTTCTTAGAAAAAAATATAAAGTAAATCCAACATATTGTTTTTCTAAATATTTTGAAAATACAACTTCCCTCATCTTAGCTAAAATAATGTAGTTCCAACTATTTAAAGACCGATTTCCAATAGTCGTCAACGATTACAAATATTTTTCAATTTTTTATGTATTTTTTAATATTAGGAAATGTTTAATTCTGTCAAGTTCCTCATTAAATGATTTTCAAATACATGTATTTCTTGTTTGATTGTGTTTATGGAATGATTTATTAGTATATGATTCTGTATTTTTCATGTTTTCCAATTTTCGAATAATAAAATATATAAGTATCCTAGCACTTGAACAGGTTCATTATTTTACAAAAGCATTTCTCTTTATTTTTTTATTTCTGAAATCATTGTTTCAATAAATATTCAAAGTCAATAATTGCCATTATAAAAGCTATAATTTCATTAAAGCTTTTATTTAATATTTAATTAGGTATAATGTATAAAGTAAATAAATTCAAAACCTTTTACTATTTAGATATGTACTGGACCAAATTATGAAAAGTGTATATGGACAAGAAAAAAAGGAAATTGTTCATTATGGTTATAATATATTAAATATATTATGATTTGGAGGGAAAATGTGTTTTTTTTTCGGGTTAATTATTAGTTAATTTATGGATAGAATGTTTAATCTTAAATGTAAGAGAAGTTAAACTAATATTCGGCGGTACAGAACATTTTTTATCAAAATATAAACCATCTCGTCTTAAACTTCGTTAGTGGTTCAATTTTATACTTGCCTACAAAGTTTTTCATCAACTTAAACATTAAAACTAATTAATACACGCTTTCCATTTGAATCGTAGGATGATTAGAAGATAAAAATCGAGTAACAAGGCGACCAACTAAATTATTGGGCTGCTTGGCCTATATAACCCCGTTATTTTGACACATAGCGGGTGAAGATCACGTCAACAGTTTTAATAACTTATTCTCATATAACGGTTTACATTTTATTTGGATTTTTCGCTCATGTCATTCATATCTCTATCTTTATCGAATAGAAATGATGAGATAGTAGAGATAGAGGTGGTGAATAATAGTGAGTTGTGGCGACTCATATAAGTCTTGTTTGGGTTATGGCTTAGCAAAGACATTTGAACTTCAAGAATTCGCCATTCATTTTCGTAACCCGTGCTGTTTATGTTTGAAGGACTTTGGTGAGTGTGCATATTCTGTATGTAGGTAAGTTTGAATTATTTTTAAAATTAACGTACTGGTTGTCTATATTCTAGCCCAAAGATGTTAAACCTAGGCAATTCAGCCAGTGAGATATCAGTCAAAAGGTTTGCCAAACTTTGTGAAAATATTACTAATTTATCTCTGGATTATTTTATTTTATTTTTAAGAAGACATTTATTTTGTTTGTTTATTTATCATTTAATAAGAGAATATTTATTTAATAGGTATATAAGTAAGAATATTTTTTTCTTCACAGTGATTTATTCTCCCATTTTTTTTTCCACTCCATTATATCATTACATATAACGTTTCAGGATCCACTTATATCCCATCTTCAGACTAGAATTTATAAAATATCGCTATTAACAATTATATGTGAACAATAAAGCATTTATCAATATAAATTAAAATCAACAATATTTTAATTTTATTTTATTTTGCCAATCTTACCAGTATCCAGCATCATCTTAATTCTCCATAAGACTTGTCATGTTAATAAAATGCTATATTTTTTGTCTTATTGCTAAAAATTGAAAATAATAAAATACATATAATAATAGTAATAATCAAATAAATGATAATTTTAAAATTACTACATTTTTACCAATAAGACAAAAAATAAAACATTTTATTAACATGACAAGTCTTATGGAGAATTAAGATGATGCAGGATACTGGTAAGATTGGCAAAATAAAATAAAAATTAAAGTGTTGTTAATTTATATTGATAAATGCTTTATTGTCCACATAGAATTGTTAATAGCGATATTTTATAATATCTAGTCTGAAGATGGGATATAAGTGGATACCGAAACGTAATATGTAATGATATAATTGAGTGTGAAAAAAATGGGAGAATAAATCACCGTGAAGAAAAAAATATTCTTACTTATATAACTATAAAATAAGTATCTCCCTTGGGATAAATGAAGAAATATTTATTTAATTTATTTTTACTTTCACTTACTTATACATGCAATATATAGTAAGCGAAAGTATTGCGATCTTGAAAATTTTTGAATCTGAGTTTTCAAGGGAAATACACGTTCTGAAGTCCCTTAAGTCCCACAAAATGGTCTGTGTGAACAGTATAGATGACAAGTCTTACGAAACTGAAATTGCGTATTGAAGTAAATGCAGGCTTGAGATGTTACAGCAAGTTGTTTTTTCTAAAAATTGGCTAATCGGAAGTCGCACTTTATATAAACGTTGTTACAAATTTTTACAATTTTCACAAAAAACGGCTCTGAGGATCTTGATGAAACTCGGTGAATCAATGTATAATTAATTGGTCTTTAATATCATTTAGGTCTTATCCCTATTGATATCGCATAACAGGGCTTAAATGCCTTATGTTCAAGACGACTTCATCTAAAATACTTAATTTGGTATATTATAAATAATTAATTATTTCTCATTGTTAGGAGTTATGAAAAAAGGCTAAATATAACTTTTGAAAGAATTTGATAATTGAATAAAGGAGAAAAAAATAAAAAACCTTATCCAAGTCGGAAATGAATCACTTAAAATAATCGTCCCAAAGAAAACGTATAATAAATCGTTAGAAAAAGGAGAAATTGAGAAAAAAATAATATATAATAAATAAAATTGTAAAATTTAACGGAGAGTGGAAAAAAGAATAAAAATTATAATTTCGGAAAAACTAACATTATTTAATATAAGTTACATGTTCTCAAGGAGATTAAATAAAATGCTTTTACTAAATGTAAACTTTAAATTTTTTTTTTAAAGTTTGAAAAAAATATTCAATATCCAGGGAATCAAGGCAATGACATTGTTTAAGATACTATTTCATTGTACCTCTGTGAAAGAAGAAGTGAAATATAATAATATTTCATGGATATGTTTATAATCTTTAATATAATTACTGTAGTTTAATAACTCTAGATCTGATATATTCCATTTATGATATCTCAACAGTATCCACTTACAATTAGTTTGACAACTTTAGACCTATCCATGGCAGGCAGTGCAAATCACGTAATTCCATTTTAGTAAACTTTGTAATGGAAAATAACAGTTTAATAACTACTAGTCGTACAATCCATAATAAATCGTTGAAATAATAAATAGGATTTTTGGTATTTTAATGGTATTAATGACTAGTTAGCTGTAAGCTATGGCTTTAGCTCGGTTAAAAATGCACTTCAAAAATTTTATAATAGTCCAACATTGCCAGAAAATAATTTCTATTCAAAGTTGAGCGGAAAGTGAAAGTTGTTTGTTGCGCGCACCAGATTTTTGAATATGAAATTGCGTATAATAAAATTTATTTTTTGTTGTGTATCCTTTTGATTTACTGATTGACCAACATCCCAAAACTGATATCTAATTAATATTTGTTCTCTGTTTTCATCAATAAATTTAGTTATTGATCTAATGATCAATATGTAATGATTTGGCATGGTCTATTTAAACTAACAAAAACTATTTTCTTTTTCACAAATTTAATATGTTATGTATTTAGAAATAATGTAAATAAAAATCTATATTACTGTAGATGCGTTAGTATGATAAAGCAGAAAAAACAAACATATAGTTAAGCTTATATAAAATAACGGGCAATAACGAAGACTAATGGAAAACGGTCAAGGCGTGTGAAAAAGTTGGAACACGCACGACAAAAAATATGATTAAAAAAAATATTGGCAAAAAATTGATATTATCTCAGTTGATTTCAAAGTACGCATTCGTCCCAAGGCGAATTTTAATTACTGTTTAGGAATCTCCATCTTTTCTTGCTTCTTACTTTGAAATGTTGGCGTCGATGGAAAACAAATTAATTAACAGTATTTAGTGGTTGATGGTTGACTGTAGTGAATAATTGAAGAGAATAATGGTTGGGATGATCAGTAAAAAAAAAAAAACAGCAAAAATAAATAAGTATATCTATATATTGATTCTAGAACTGGTTTATTAAAAAAATTAAAAAGTATATTTAGTCTGTAACTGGTTAAATTTGAAATATCGAAAGAACATTCTTGAAAAATGTGGCTAACTGAAAGTGTACTATAACAATATTGGCATTTTGGTGGTGACTTTTTTGCTAATGAGATATGACTGGGTCAGATTTGTAAGGTCTATTCTCATTCTGGTCAAGATAACCTCTTTCCTGCGGATAGGACGGTGAGTTGTTGACCACGGCTTTACTGTGTTTTAATACATTTTAGTTTGTTTGGCGGGTTCTCACTCCACATAGATTGCCAGCGAAAAAATATTTCTTTTTTGAGGGGAAGACTTATATCTTAGAATGGCAGCACTCCGTTCTGGAAGGGTAAGCGTTTGGTTGGCCGCTACGTCTACAAGGTCATTGCCAATGATTCCCATGTGACTCGGCTCCCAGACAAGATAATAAACTTAAAGTAAAATAAAGTAGATAGTGTAAAGTAAAATAAAGTAGATAGAGTAAAGTAAAATAAAGTAGGTAGAACAATAAGAGTAACAGATTACTAAGAAATAAATAATTTCTGCAAAAAAGTATGGACTAATGAAATAAATATAATCAAAATGAGGTAACATGAGAAATGAATAATGAATTAATAACGAGGAGTAGTGGAATGTATATGATAATAAACCTAACTATCTTAGGAAGCACCTGCATAGAATAGGAGTGCCAGACTCTCCACATTGCAACCTATGTAATTCGGGGGCACATATCGTCGCAGTGCATTTAGGTGTATGGTAGCGCTTGTTGATCATAACAGATACCACGTCGTCCAAATCGGAATAGTACTGGGCTGCAAGATCTCTGATGGCGGAAGCCGATAAAGAGAGGAATAGTTAAAATAAATGTAAGTGTTGACAAAAAATAAATAGGCTGACACAGTTACTGAAATATGATGTAATATTATGCTAAAAGGAAGTGATATAATCATAGAATAAATGTAAAACAGAGAAAACAAATATGAAGTTACATAAGAAAATAATAGATATAAATAGAAAATTGAGATCTCATCGGTTTCATTTCTTATGTTATCTTATTTTAATTATGTTTATTTCACTAGTCCCAATATTGGTGTCGTTGTTATTTATTTCTTAGTTCTCTGTAATCGTTATTATTCTATCTACATTATTTTACTTTATGTTCACTCTATCTACTTTATTTTATTTTAAGTTTATTCTACCTCCATATTTTAGTCTATGCCTTTCACCTTTTTTTTAATCCTGGATTATTCAATGTTTATAGTTTCTCATACATGTTGTTGTATATATTTTTCTTAGCCCTGATGAAGACCTGAACTTTGGGCCGAATCGTCGGCAAAAATAAAAATGAATATACTTATTTATTTTTATTATTTTTTTTACTGATCACCTCAACCATTCTTCTCTTCAATTATTCACTACAGTCAACCATCAATCCACAATAATTGATTCTTGAGGAATCTTCCCACTTTTGACTAAACACTGGCAAAAATTGTTTGTTTAAATGATAATTTAATCTGATGTTCAGTTAACAATAACAATAAATGTTCATTTCACTTAGTATACTATAACGATCCGCTGAAAATTCCTCTACAATTTCTATATTTTGTGCATTCCAAAAAAGTAAAATGTCAAATGAAACGAATTATTTCTCTAGAATATTTGGCATATTGTAATTTAATAATGATATTTTTTTAAAATAATAATTCAATAAAATTGAGCACTAAAGTAGTGACTATACAACCACTATCTTCACTTCATATTTATTACCAATTTCACATTCACTCCAAAGGTATTTAGAAATGTAAACAAATATTCATCTTATGTCTTCGGTGACAGTTGTTTATTATTTAAGGTTTTTGAAAAATTTTCATAGATTTTTTTTCTCTCCTTCCAGCTATTTACGGTTATACGAGGATTTTCCGGGGTCAAGGGAGAGAGCGGAGATTAATGTCAGAGATAAAAGCCCCTCATTATTTGAACTCCTTGCGTACTTTGCACATGCGTCAGCCCATTTGGCCACCCTGCTCCCGATTATCACAGCTCAGGTAAGATGCGGAGAATTTGCAGTGAGACAAATGTGCAGAATTAACTTACACAATTACCTAAAATTTGAATTGGTTTCAGTTGAGGAAAGTTATTGCTTTTTTTTTTTTCAACGGACTTACATCCCCCTTCCTTAAAATGGAAAAACAGTTTATATGGGGGGAGGGAGAGGAAAGAAAGATTTTATTACATTTAAGCGAAAACCGAAATAATTGGATAGCTTAATTCAGCCTCTTTTTTGCAAGTTTTTTAACAGTTCAGTTAGACTTACGAGCTTACGATTTATTTCAGGGTCACGAAGATATAGCTTAGATAGTTAGTCTGCTAGACTTAAAAAATAGTATTATGTCCACTTTTTTGTCATTTGAGACCAATCTGTGCAGTTGTGGACGAGGTCTTACAAAGTAAGAAGTCGGTGGCTAACGAAGTCAAGGCTATTGATGTTTCCAATTCCAGTTGGAATTAAAGTGAGCAGCTAATATAATAATAATATGAATTTTAGATCGCTAGGCAGACAGTACAAGGCTAAAAATAGACAAATTGGCAGGCATATGCAATTAGCTGAGAAAAAGGGAAAAGAAAAAAATAATCCTTATTGATCGAAAAAACTAGTAGATATCCATTACCAATCCTTCCCTGGCTTCCTTATATAATAAAGGTAGTTGTTTCCTCATTCAGAACCTTTTCAGGCACCTTCTGATATTCTTCATGACGATGCGTATGGTCATTCAGTTAATTATTTGATCGCAGTGTTCCTTTAGCACTTCATGAAATCATTTGTAAGACCTCATTCGGTGTTTTTGACTTTTGTCTTGTGCAAACCAGTATTTTAAATGTTATTACTTAAGCCCTGGTTGCACAGTGCAAGCTGGTACATTGAACTGAAGACAACACGAACAGTGTCGTGGGCTACAACTACTATTTCTTTAAAAACAAATATATTTAATAATTAAAATTTTAGGGCGACAAAAAAAAATTTCTGCCAAGTAAGGTCAGTATAGCTTCCTCACCGTTTTCATTGGATGAAATATATCTATATTACAAGGTATACAATTTTTCGTATGAGAGTAAAATCTCAGGAAGAAACCGATTCGGAAATACAGTTATCCTTCAACATTCGCAGGTTTGATATCTAAGAATTTCGTTTATCAGCTAATATTAAAATGCGAAAAAGTGGCATATTTAAAAATTCCATATTGATCATTTCTTAGTTAAAAAATAAATACCGATGCAAAATGAAGATAAATTTCACTATTGATAGTGCAAAAGGTCATATGTAAAAACTCATTATTTCTTTATGCTTTATTTGTATAATTTCATATTTTATTGTCCGCTGCTATTTTCCATAGTAGCAGACTACTTATATCTGTTGCATACTACAAAATGTCACCTTTAGCACAAATAGAATAAAAGTTGAAAATTTTTACAAACGACATTTTGCACTAATAGTAGTGATATTATATACATAATAGGTACGTTTCCAGTTCGTAAAATGGAATGAACGAGGAAATCCATAGGAAAAATTAAACTTGTTGTTTGTTCGGAGTTAACGAGACCAATACTTTTCTTCAGTCAGAACAAAACTAGCTAAGCTTGAATATAAAAATATGAGTGAAGTTTTCACAACTTCGATATTTAAGGAGAAAATCGAGATCAAGACGGTTGAACTTCAATGGAAATAAACACAACTACAAATAAGACTTTTTTTTTGTTTACAAATTCAGAATAAAAATTATTTTAAATTTACTGAAAATTACACGAAATCTAAGCAACGGCAGTAAGTGTCATGCTAGTAACGTTTAGAATCGACAAAACAATACAATATCAATTAATTTTTTTGAAAAAAAAACTTGAATTTTATAACACCATAACAATATTGTAATACCCTAACTCCCACTTCATATGATCAGTGGCTTCAACATTTCACAGCCATTATATTGTTAACAATTATTTATATTAATTTTAACTTTTAAATGGAATTCAATGAAATTGATACTAAGTAATTTCCAAACTATTCTCCAAATTTCCTCCAGGTTTGGTTTAAATAGAATGCGCCGTTTTCGAACTATAGGCATATCAAATAACACATTTTCTGATCTGAAAGCAGAAGTATTTTTTTATAGACTAGTTGATAAAATTGATGCCCATTTCATTTTACGTTTACTAATCTCTAAATTCTCTCCGAATTTCAGCCAAATCGAACTAGCTGTTTTAGAGAAATAGACGTATCAAGGAAAACACGTTTGCGCAAATAAAAAAAAGCAACGGACAGGAATTCAAAAAAATTGACCCTACCTTATTTTTTCACAAATACCTAACTTTTATTCAACTTTGAGACAATTCGAACGAGCTGTTTCTGAAATATTGGCATATCTACAAAAATGCGTTTGCGTGAACGTAAGCGGAAGTGCTGGTTAGAATTTAAGAAAATTGATATGGGATTATCTAGACACCAACTACGCACAATTCCTGAAAATTTTATGAAAATCGGATAAGCGGTACTAGCTGACATGATCGTTACATCGATTTGACTACAGACAGACACCGAACCAAATTTGATCCTTGATGTCTGAAACGTAAAACGCAAGTGAAAATTTTCGATTCTGAGCACAAAATTTAACCTCCTCCACGAATACTATGCTTCCCTACCTTCGGTTGTGAGAAAGCAAAATTAATATCGTCTCTATTTATTCACATTTCTTTACTGAGTAATATTACATTTTGTCACATTCAAGAACACTAGTGATTGCAGGGATGCCCAGAAGTTACGCCATCAAAGTTTTTAGGGGGGCACATTTTGACGGGATTTTGCACTTTTGAGGGAGGCACGTTTTGACGAAGTTATTAATTTTCAGAGTGAATAGATTCAAAATAGGGAACTAGGTGGAAAATATCGACAGACACAGCTAGTGTAACTATTTATGACCTACGAGTTTTCTGATTATACTGCACTGTTTTTAAGAAGAGGGGGGGGGGCACAATTTTTGGAGAGTAGAGGGGTGATTTTATACCACAAATCTTGCAGGGGTGATAGTGATAGAATAGCTCATTCAGTGGGCGGGGTGGCCGAATGGGCTAACACGTGTGCACAGCATTGGGCGGCAACCTGATATATGACAAATAATATAAAAATATTCAAGAGTTCACAAAAAAAATAAATAAATTAAAGAACAAAATAATAATACTGAAAGTAAATGTATATAAAGAAAAGAAACTAAACTAATCAAAATTACAACACATACGTTTATACAACATCCTAGAAGAGATCCCACCGCCTCTCAACCAGCCGCGTTACTGATTAATAAATTAATTAAAATAAGATTAAGTGAATAAATAGTTTATTTATTGAAAATATTAATTATTTCCAAACAGAAATTACTTAGGCATTAGCATTAAAGTTTAAGAAGGTACATCCGAGCATTTAGGTACATCCCTGGTTGTTTCTCTCTAAGATTATTTGAGTTTTTTTTTTTTGTTGTAATAAATTATTTTTTCCATCAACAATAAAAATATAAATTTACAAACAAATTGTAGTGTGAGAACACATGTTGCACAATGCTGTGTCGCAATTAGAAATCAAAATGATCTTTTCTTTTAACCAGAGTTTTGAACCTGAAAAATAAAAATAATAAAATAAGGAGGCCATCTTCAATTTAACAATAGCCAAGTTACTTTGAAATAAATCTATTTTTTCTAAAAGTATACATGTAAGCATTTATTATTTATTCATTGAATGTTTATCAAATGAGAAATCTTGTTATTCCAGTGTGCGAATCAGACGTTTTTTTAAGGTTAAGGTGACTATCAACTGTGGTGGGGAGAAAGAAGTATATATACCTTCATAATCAGACAAGGGTTCAATGTGTATAATGATGCCTATAACCTGGGGTTTGGTCTGTGCGCTTCTCATAATCGTCTTCTGTTTCCTTGTCAAATGCTGGAAGCCTCCCATATTACCAGGACCTAGAGGATTTCCATATTTTGGAATTGCCATCAGATTAGTAGGGATAGCTTCTAAAGGTAGTTGAAGTACACAGTTTTTATTTAGAAAATCTTCTAAAATACACTAACTACATAACATTAATGTGATATAATCATGATTTCAAATCACTTGTCTTCCATAATTACCCTTGTAGTCCGTGGTACAGACCCCTTTTTATAGAATTATTAATATCCGCCTGAAACATCGTAAATAGTTCCATCTCGTCGTAACCTACAACTGTTTTATTTTTATGAAAACTCTTGGAATTTTCAATATGGAGGGGGGGCAAACTTTTTTTATTTAATTTGGTGCTAAAAACTTGTAAATACCCATTTGCTTTCTACTTGGATCGTAAGATAAACTGACCACAAAATCAATAAAAAAAAGTGGCATACAAAAATATTGGACCGTTTGTCCTATATAACCTCGTTATTTTGCAATTTTGGGGGTGTAGGTCACTCTAAACTGGTCAATATTTTTGAAGGCCACCTTTTTTCTCTATCATGTAACTACCAAATCCTATATTTTTTTTTAAATTCTTATTCTTTCGATTTATTTAAATTACTTAACATTATATTCAATTTCTTTCTTTTTGTTTGTTTGTTTGTTTTAATGTACATATATACATACTCAAGTCCATAGATGTTGAACCATATCAACAATGGAGGACACATTAAGGTTATACAGTGGTAATAGAGGCCGAAATATTTTTTCATATTTTATTGGTACTAATTTTATTTATAAGTTAATAGAAATGAAACAAATATCGTTTACTTAATTTTATTATTTTTCTTAAGCTAAATAATTAAATATTAATTATACTAGTAATAGATTAATGAAGAGCGCACAAAAAGTAGCGGAGGCCCAACTAGTCTAACTTACCGAATATTTCCATCATATAGCTCATTGCAATACAATATTACAATTTTAGTTTTCTTAATGATGATAATATTTATTATAGATGATAATATTTCACAAACACACACACACACACACACACACACACACACACACACACACACGCATATATATATATTTTTTTTTTCGTTTGGCCGCAAGATGTGGTCTCCTTACAGACGTATGTTGCTTGCGGGAGCACAGATAGCCTAGAGGAGCCTAACCAATCTCACGTTGCTACGAACCATGGTCTCCATAGTGCAGGGACCGGCCACCCGTAGCTCTATAGTTCCAATCTGGCCAATCTGTCCCACTGACTCACTTGGGGACATTGACAAATCGGTCTAGATTCATGGATTATGGCTGCTCAGAATCAGCAGGCTCACGAGAAACTATATTTCTTTCCCCAAAACAGACCTTCCAAGGACCGATCTCAGGGGGGCTACTACTATCATCCTGGTAAACTATATTCGGATTCCCGATTTAAGTACAGGGGGAAGGTCATCAGTCCAACGCCCTGTCTGTATGAGTTGTGTCTTTCCACATGGAACAAGCTGAATTTCGTCGTACATTATTCTTTGTTTCCCTTTTAGCAATGGAAGCGGTATATCAGAGTTCTTAGCAATATATTTCGAAACAAATCTCATTTCATAAATTCATTGAAGCAAGGTTAAAATATAAAATCTTGGAATCTTCCAATCCATTAAAATATTTAATATTGAATTGATTTTTAAAAATATGGTGTTTTCAAAATTTAAAAAAAGAAGGTTGTAGATTTTTTAGGAAAAATATTATAATTTTTTTAAACCATGGTTGCATGGTTATACAAACATTGCATGAACATAATTTTCGTTATCTTACCTAGATATAAAATATACAATAAGAGAAAGTATTGCGATCTTCAAATCTGAGTTTTCAACAGAAATACAAGTTGTGAGTACTCTAAGTCGTAGTCTAAGAGACCAAGTCTCGTAAGACGTTGTAAAGCTTTCTTAACTTTATCTGAACGGGCACGACCCCTGAAATTAATATTTTTATATATAACAGTGTTTATGTAAAAAGAAAAAACACATTGAAGAATAAATAAATAAATATCGATCCTCCTTACTCCTGTTGGACTAAAAAAAAATCGTGGCATTTAATTATTAACTGTAACTAAATAAATGATTAAAATATACTGTCGTAAAATGGAATGATTAGTCACGAAATACGCATAAATTTAATACCTTGAAGGAGAAAAACATGTACTAATTGATTTTTTTAAATAATATGTTATGTCATCTATGATTTTTACTTTCAGTTCATACCTGTCAAATATTTTAATAATATTGTTAATTGATTAACCGGGCGTAGGTAATGACTTAGATGTTTTGAAGGATTTTAAAAGATTTTATAACAGTTCAGTGAAAACTGAAATTATTGGTTACCCAAATCCAGCGTTTTTCATTACTTCAATTAGACTCATAAGCTTACAATATATTTTAGCACATTGAAAATATGGCACTAAATAGCTTAGATCTATAGCTTTGAATGAGTATTGGAGGTTTTAGTTCAGAGAAGAACTTAAAGAATTGTATTATGTCCATTGTATTATCATTTGGGACCACTATGGGGCGGTGCAGTGTTCCCAAACTCGATTTTTTAGTCATAATTCCATAACTCCGCTGTTTTCTCATCAGATTTCAATATTTATTTGCTTTCTATTATCACTAATAAATATATTACATTAGTTTAATTGCAAATTAACGCATATTGTTCTCCCTTTCCCTTTTTGCAAGCGAATTGATATAACAGCGTTTTTAGCAATATATTTCGAAACAAATCTCTTCATCTCATTACATTAATTCATTGAATCATGGTTAAATACACACACTTGAATTCTTTCAATACATTCAAATATTTGAAATTGCATTGATTTTTTTTTTATCATTATAAAATATTAAAAGTAATTGCAGGACCTGAACTAGATTTTTTTTAAATTAATTTTTTTCCTTCTTCTTTTGCCCCAGTCTATCCCTAAAAAGAATCAATTATTTTTAAATTCATGGAACATGTTTTGCAATAAATATCACCTTAGTTCATTAAATATTTTCATTGACTAAACGAAAGTAAAAACAACCAAAAAGGAGAAAGAAATATTTTTTATTTAACCTAAAAATAAAATTCCCTTCACATATTTCATAAATTCTGCTGCCGACAAGTGGACAAGCGGCCGATTCGCTCCTCCATAGACTCGGCCTGAGTGTTTTTAATGAAAAATGCTTATTGAAATAATTGCCATAAAATAGAAAGAAAGAAAACTAAACAAAACAGTATTGTCTTGTAACATTTTAGGACCACTTTCACTAATCTTTCTTACAAATTTAAATCATATTGTTTTTTATTATGATTCAATCTGTATTTTTTTCTAGATATCTTGCCTCTTATGATAAAATGGTGTAACGAATATGGAACGATTTTTGAATTCAAAATGCTTGGTGCGAAATATGTATTTTTGACGGAACCAGAATTGGTAAAGGTAAGGTATGGTTATATTTTTAATCAATAACGATTTTTTTCTTATTTTTTTCTTTTAACCATAGCTGCCATGCGGGGTGTTCGGCAGCGTGGATTAATACGTTGGGATTCTCGTATGCTCACCACTGCCAATAAACTACTCTTTATTGATTGACTATGTTTATTGATAATTTATTATTTAATTTAGGGAACTGTGGTGCGGCCCGGTACACGGCTGTGCACCTTACTATATATATATATATATATATATATATATATATATATATATATATATATATATATATATATATATATGTGGCTTGCATTGTTGCATCTTTCCCTAGTTCCCTAGGAATCTTTAGTTCTCTGCTGCCTCTGGAGGTAACCTTACAGTACTTAGAGTAAAGTGTGAAAGTCCCCCCAGCTCTTTCCACCCGTATACAAAATCCCGGAAGAACAGGCAATTTTCTTCATCGACAAGGCGGGGAAAATCCGCTTTCGTGATGTTATAATTGTCTATTTTTAACGATTACCTAGCACGGCGTCACTCCATCTCGGTACAGTATACTAGGACGTGTTCGGCCATCTCAGGGACTCCGCAGAGAGGGCACCAGTGGTCAATATCCTTCCCATGGTCAGCCAGTTTTCCTCGGAACCCTCCATGTCCTGTGATTATCTGCGAGACCCAGTAATCAGGGTGGACGCGGGTCGCCTTGAGTCTATCTTGGACGGTGGAGAAAGCTTTCTGCGAGTGGACCTTTTCCTCCTTATCACCCACCGTCTGTTCCTCTTCTGAATGGATTCCTCTTTGACAGTCTTCTTCCATTGGCCCTGCCTCTTGATCTCAAACTTCAATGCGTTGTAATCGATTACTATGTGTGTATTCAATATTATGTTTATATAAACTGTAGAGAAAACGTGTAAAACTTAGATTGCAATGAATGTGTAATAATCTTAGCCATTAAAAAACTGTTGTAAACAGAATATCTCTAATATACCTTTCTATGTAGGCCTAAATGAGATCTGTGATCTGTGGAAGAATTCACTAATTCTGCCTGACATAGCTGGATTACATCTAGGCGTGGAATCATATTTAAATTTGTATGCGTAAAATTTTGTATTCATCGGTTCAAGGATAGTTAAAATTTCGTAATAAAGTCTATGTTCATAGGCGCGGACTTTCCATTGTGGTTGGGGAGAGGAGAATAAGCGGGAGGGGGTTGATGGACTTCTTCTTTCTAAAAAAAAAAAAAAAAAGTCCGAGGTTCATATTATGTTTGCAAATTATGAGTCATAACTAACATAATTATTGTAAAACGAATATAAATATAAATTTATATATATATATGATATATATTAGGTTTATTATTTTTTTTTTGCATATGGGCATATTTAAAAATATGTTAACAAAGAAATTGAATATATTATTCAATAAATATTATCTGAGAAGGAGTTAGTCGGGGGTGCGGACATAAATATTATCATATAAATATTATTATTATTTTTATTTTTATTCAAAGATTTGAGGCAGTGAGACGAATTCCCAATTCTCCCATGCTTCAAATTTGTCATTGAAAATATGATAAACTCTTCACGTAAAAGTGGAAGAATTCAGATGAATGAATCATAAAATCCTTGGATATGTTACAACATATAATTATCTTTGAATATAAACTAATATTTCAATAATAGAAACGTAGGGCGTTGTAAAATACTTGCGTCTTACTTCTAGGACTTAGCCATCTAGTCGACTTTTCCCATTTTCTAAATTGATTTTAATTTAAATTCATTTAGATTAATTGTTATTGATTTTGATTATATATTTTGACATATTAGGGGAGGGGGGGGGTGAGTGATCGTCCCTCTCGCGCTCCCAAAGGCTACGCCTATGTCATCAAGTATACTTCAGACATGTTGCCAATGTTAATCAGGAGCGCTATTAAGATCTGTGTCAATCTGGACGCTTGAGGACGCTCTTACCAAATTCAGAAGTATTTTAAAAATGTTTGAATTAGATTTTAAAGAAGGATCAAATAATTTTAAATATTACTTAAAACTATACAATATAATCAGTTTCTAATTTTAATTAAAATACTTATTATCATATAGTTATATAATTAGCAAAATAATTTAGTAATAACTAATCAAATGAAATTACTCAAAAATGATTTTTTTTCAGCCAATACTTTCCAGCTCCACGAATATTACTAAAGGTCATTTCGAGTACTCATTCTTGAAGTTAATGTTTAATGATGGACTTATAGTCTCTAAGGGTTAGTCAATATGCTCATTTAAAATTCCATTTATGTAACAGTTCTATGTTTAATTTATAAGCGTATTCCTAGTTTTAAATATAATCCTGGTTGATCAGTTTTGCGGTAATATATAAGATAATTTTTTTTTAATAATAACAATGTGTTCAGTAGATTATTTTACTTTGGACTAATTTTTAGTCTAATATCTTTTGTTAGCTTGATCATGAATTACGTTCTTCACAACACTATTAAGCAGATTTTTAAAAATAATATAGTTCAATTATTTATATTATATTATTTATGAATATTAGTATAGATTTATATTTCTGATCTAATTAGAAACGAATTGGGGACTGGTTTTATCTCAAGGTGGAAACTGGACTTAACAATGCCACCAATTATCACCCTTCATATTTATTTATAAGGTTCTTTGACGAAGTTAGATTATAGTTAAATTAATAATACTAAGATTTTTGTGAACAGGTGATAAGTGGCGTACAAACAGGAGATTACTGACACCTAGTTTTCACAACAAAATACTGAAATCATCAGTAGAAACTGTAGGCCGAAATGCAGAGGAATTTGTTTCACAATTATTGGCCTTCGATGGGAAACCTATTGATATTGAAGACATAACATATTTGTTGGCTTTTAAAATAATTTGTGGTAAACTAATTAAGACATGCACGTATTGATCAAAAATTGAATCATTTGCATCAACATTTTATCATCAAATAATTTTTTTTATTTTTGCATAATTAACTGTATTTTTGTATTTCAGAAACAGCAATGGGTTTTAAATTGAATACAGAGGATAAACAACAAAACGAATTCGTAAAAGCTTCAAAAATGTAAGGCTTGCGACATAGATTTTATTAGAAATCATACTAGGAAAAAAAAAATCTCAACTTCTCTCAAACGTTTTAGCCAATAGTCCATTATCAAGGAATCTTTTTTTATTTATGCATCCACAAGCGGAAGTAGTAGATGGAAATTGATTGTGACTATTTGGTCAGATTTACTAAATCACTCAATCCATAAAAATTTCTTTGAAATCGGATTAATAGTAATATGTGATTTGCCTATCAAATGAATTTGAATGAAGGAACAACAGATATGGAACCTAATTTGTTCTTTAGCGTATAATGCGAGTGTTTTAGAAAATTTAGAAAAGCACCAATGAAGCCGCAGAGTTATCAGATAAGTTAATTAAATTTAAATTACGAAATAAACATGCCAAGATAAGCAATTGCGATATAATCATGTTTAGTCATTGATATGATCCATAAACATATATTTAATGGAGTTTGATCTTTAAATTTAAGTTTAACATGCTAACTCATTCGAATAAACCTAGTTTTATTTCATTTTCAGTTGCCACGATTCTCTTGTGCATAGATATCTGAGGTTTTGGCTGTTTCCCGACTTTATTTTTCGTCGCTCTGATGTTGGAAAACAATTTTTCAAGAGTGCAGATCTTATTCAAGACGTAGCTGAACAGGTAAAATGATTTTGAAGTTCTTAAGAAATACATACATAAAACCATTTGAGTTCGTTGAAGAATAATTTTAATAATATTTATTTTGCTCACTCACTATGAAGCCCTACAACTTCGATAAAGTATATAACATAGGATACATCTAAATAAAGTTTACAATTTTCTTCATTGAGGTATCGTGAATCATATCTATCATAAGTAATTTCTCCATGATGAGAAATTATAGAAAAAATTTGTAATGTTACGCAGTAATCTTTTTTCTTCAAAGAAACCATTACATTCTTGTAATAGCCTAGTTCCAGGATAAGCACACCTTACACATTCAATATTATTGAGTCAATAATTTTGAAGAAATATAATTAATTGTATGTAATATGTATATATTACAATTATTGTCAAAATAATTGTAAAAGTAAACCTCTCTGACAGTCAATATATGCGATATCCACTCAATAATTTTTAATGTGTGAGGACCCATTTAGGATAATCACAGTAATAAAATGAAAGAAGGACTTAAAAGAATTAATAATTTCCTTCCATGAAATCCGTAAAAGCATTTGTTTACTTCTTATTTTAATACAAAAAAAAAAAATATATATATATATAAAATAGTTACCTGCATATATATATATATATATATATATATATATATATATATATATACACACACACGTGTGTGTGTGTGTGCGTGTGTGCGTGTGTGTGTATGTGTGTGAGGGGTTTAGAATGACAAAGAAAATCAATTATATCCAGAATGTTTTCTTAAATGTTATGTGTGTATTATTTTAGAATATTGTACGTACTTTAATACATATATATGCATAATATACATATATCATACGAAGTATATTAAAAATATTCACTTTTTGGACAAAATAAACTTGACTGAAATCACTGCTATCATTTTAATCCTCTCAAATATACATGTAGTCATGTAAAACTCCCAACTTCAAATAAAAATTAACTTAAAATGATTTTAGACCTTCCTGTTTTTACAAAATATTTTCATCATTTTTAGGTTATAAAAAACAGAAAAGAATTATTCATTGCTGAAAAGAATGGATCAAAGAATAAGGATTTGAAAAAAAAAGGTAAAATTATATTTTAGATTTATAGCACGAACTATTTTTAGAAAAAGAAAAATCAACTTTATGTTTTAATCTGAACGACTTATCTAGGTACCAACATTTCTGTAAGCAAATTATTTCATTTAAACCTCCGCAAGAGGCTTCAAAACAAATTATGAAATGGCTTAGGATTTCAAAAATATTATTTTATTCATGATATTTACAACTGTATAAAAACAAATATGCATCAATTAATGTGATACATGGAAATGACATGAGAATACTTGTAGAGAAGCTAACTATTGTTAGCACTAAAATAAAATTTCAAAATTAGGAGATCACGAGACCATCTCCTTTTCAGACGCCTCTGAGGATTATCAGTATTTAAAATCAAAATAGTCGAAACTAATGTTCATATTCAAACAACTTATAATATTGTCGGCGACTGATTTAGTTGTTGTATTTAATCGTCTTATGAATATTATTTTGGAAGTGTAATAACTCTATTTAATTATTATTAATTTTGCTATAAATCTTCCATTCACCCAATGGCTATATTGTTGATTTTTGGTTCAATATTTTAATTTCTGCAATAAACTTCATTTTTTTTATTTTTTAAAGAGCATTCACATACTACAACAGATAATCTTTCTACCATGTCTGCAACCATGTGTTAGTTGTCTTAATCATTTCCAATAAATTTGAAATTTTTAAATTGCTCTTTGTGCATAATTTTATTTCTGTTTATTTTTATTTCTAAACAGTACAAACGTTTGTATTTCAGTAGTTATGTTCTTATTAAAATTTAAAAGTTAACTAATTGGAATTTTATTTGATTTATTTTATTTAAATTACAATTTTTTTTTTCACTTCTATTACATTTTGACACCAAGGGTATATAATTCATAAGCAAAATTTAAAGAAGAAAATTTATCTGATTATCTGTTTATGTAATTTATAATTGGTTTTCTTTTTCTTTTTTTCCAGACATATTAATCTTTGTGTTCTAGGTTTGTAATATTTATTATTTTACGTATTTTTAAATTTTATTTGCTTACTCAAGTCATGGATTTATTGGTACTTTTGAAAAGGGGGTTAATTATCAATAAATATATCATTATTTTATTAAAAATATTTATTTTGCTTTTACTGTATTTTCCTTTACAGTATAATTATTTTTAAAAAAACCAATGAATTGGATATATATTATCAATGACAAAAAAGAAACAAATAGCTATAATTCACGTGAGAAGTTACATAAAATCCTGTATTTAATTAATTTGTACTAAATGAACTTTAGCATTATTTAAAATTAAAGAGTATTAATTATAATAGAATAACAGTAAAATACAGTTTATTGATTTACAATATTATAAACGATATAAGAATTAAAAAACTTAAAAATTGATGAAAAAATATAAATTTCAATGCTCTTATAGCTTTTCACAGGGCAGCAATAAAAGAAAAGTAGATATACTCGCCGGATGTTGATTCCTTCAATCCCTATGATGTCCATAAATTTCGGACTTGTTAACGCGAATGTTCATCATTGGACCATCAGGTGAACTACATGCGGTGAACGTTCAGGGCATCGTGTGAACGTAGCTGTTGACGAATATTTCTCTCTTCACATTCGCGATTTGTCATTTCTAACACGGCTTCAGGATGTCCCGAACCTACAATCGCGCGAACGATCATGGCATCATTCAGAGCATGGTATGGTATCACCTTAAAAGTGCTATGTCAACAATGATATATCTAACAAATCCTTGTTCGTTATCTTCAGCTTAATACTCTGCTAATCCACTTCTAATTAGTAAGTTCACGTCAAAAAAGAAAGTGTGAAACATTAGCTATCAAATACAAGGAATGTGATACAATAAATACAAATTATCTAATAAATAAGATGTCCTTGATTGTGACAGATTGTAATATCTCTCAATAAATATGGTTAATAAAAAAAATAAATAAATAAGATAAGTGATTCAATTTTATAAACTTAAATTGTTTTTACAGAAAGAAATGCTTTCCTGGACAATTTATTTGAATTAGTTGACCTCAATCCAGCTTTATTTACAGAATCTAATATCAGAGAAGAAGTAGACACATTTATGATTGCGGTAACTTTTTTTTTTTTAATACAAAATCTATTGTAATTGTTGTTTGTCCTTTAATAAATAAGATCTCTGAGGTAATAAAGCCTTTCAGATGAAATGTTAAACTTTTTATATTTTATTAGTTTGATTTTAAACTAATAGATGTTCTAAATCTATATACTTAGTAGATAATAAACCTTGCTCCATGTGCTAATTTGTCTCTTCAAAATCTCTAATGATATAATTTAAAAAAATCATCCACCATTTACTATTCAAGATATCATATTTAAGGTATTAAATGTTTTATTAATTGTTAAAGTATGGACACAGTAAATTTAAATCAGTATAAAAAGTATAAAAAATAAGTGAATGTAAATATAATTTTACAATTATATGTAAAAATAATACAGAATGTATTGCAGGGTCATAATCCATCAACATCTTCTCTGAAGTTTTTACACTTCTTACTGGCCAACCATCCGGATGTTCAGGTTTGTTTCAAATGCTTAATTTAGAAAATAATCTATCCAAGTATGTAATTTATATCGAAATCCAAACAAAATTTTATTTATTTTCCAGGAAATTGATACGATTGGGATGTTCCCTTTACTGATTAGGTAATTTTAATAAATATGGTAAAAAATTCAAAAATAACGAATCTATATTATGAATATGAAGGAGCTAAAATAGAAAAAATAAATAAATAAATTAAATATAAGTTGAGTTTGTTCGCTTTACCTTTTTTTAGGGCCTAAAGGCTATGTTTTTGGATTTCCTTAATCGTGAAATTAATATTGATTTTTCGAATTTACTCTCGAATTGTTCTTTAGCTCATTACTTAGCAAACCTGGGGACAGAGTCCAAAAATCCACCTCATCGCAAGCGAAGGTTTGATTGTAAATTAATTGAGTGAAAACAACATTGTCTGTCGTCCCATAGCCGCTGCATTCAAAAATGGCGATTGATTTAGAGAACATTAGACCAGTAATTTGATAATCGAAACGGGAAATCCATTGTGAAAAATGTGAGAAAAGTTTTTATTTTTTTATCTTGTACATAGGGGTTTAGACATGTAAAAAAGAAAATTGCTAAAACCATGGTAAAACTTTTAAAGCCAAAAAAGTCAGATTTTTTTGGTCTTCATCTATAACTCCTAAACGAGGCATCAAACCGAAAAATGTACACTTTAATAAATTAAAGAACGTTAAATTTTGCGTCGAAAAAAAAATAAAACATCAGGCGAAGATTTACTAATAGCCGAATTCTTGAAAAGTATTAGTGATAATATGCTCACACATCTATATAATTTGGTCTTGGATATATGGATGAATGAAAGCATGCCTCAAGAGTGGGGGACAAGTTTCATTTGTCCAAATTTTAAAAAAGGAGATAAACTGCAATGCAGAAATTACTGAGGAATATCCCTCTTGGAGATAGCATACAAAATATTCTCGAATATTATCCTGAAGAAACTAAATGTTTACGCTGAATGCATACTAGGAGAATATCAGTGTTGGTTCCGTAAAGGAAAAGGAACAGTCGACCAAAGTTTTGCAATGAGACAAATATTAGAAAAGTGTTGGGAGTACATAACTACAATTCATGTTCTTTTCATTGATTATCGCCAAGCCTTCAACAGCATTAATAGGACCAACTTGATTAAGGCACTAATAGAATACAACATTCCGAAAAAGATGATCCAGATGACTCTAAGCAATAGCAATGCCAAAATTGTCAATGGTAGGATAAGTAATACATCTGCAATATCAACCGGCGTAAGGCAAGTAGATGCTCTGTTCGCCACTCTCTTCAATAGCATAAACAGGCAAAGAAATATATTTCATTCAAGCATTTAAATCTGTTTATATGCAGATGATAGCTCTTGTGACCAGAAGTGTTCAAGCCCTGACTGAAATTTTTAATACTGTATATTCTGAAAGTAAAATTATGGGTCTGGGTCTTGAAATAAATGATTTAAAAACGAAGTATATGTCCATTGAAACAGAAAATTCAAGAAATATACATAAACTTGTGGTGGAAGGACACGTTTACGAAAACGTCAATGCCTTTACCCATTTAGGGGCAGAAATAAATACTGAAAACAGAATTATAACTGAGGTGTACAGAAGGATAATGGCCACTAACCATGCGTATTTCGCGAATTTAAGGTTATTTAAACCATCCTTGATATAAAGGAAAACGAAAATAAAGCTAAACACTACCTTAAGAAAACCTATACTTACTTGCGCGGTTGAAACATGAACGATTACTGCCACCATGGCAAATTCGTTAAGGATCTTCGAGAAGAAAATCCTGAGAAAAATATTTGGCTCTTTGTATGATAAAACAACTCAGGCATGGAGGATTAGATTCAATAAGGAGCTGTATGATTTATTCAATCATAGTGAAATTGTGAGCTTTATAAAATAACGGCGGATCGAATGGTTGGAGCACGTTCTTAGAATGTTAGATGAAAGAATCCCAAAAAGATGCTCCAAGGAAGAATTTATGGTGTCAGAGGAAGGAGAAGGCCGAGAAGAAGGTGGTTGGAGGATGACCTCAGGCGGTTAAGAGTTACAAACTGGAGAGAAAATGCTAAGGATAGTGATATCTGAAGAGCTGTTGTTCAGGGCTGTTGAGCTATCCAAGAAAAAGAAGAAATTTGGCATCAAATGAATACATAAACTTTATAATTTGGTTACATTTTAAGACATAAAACCACGGTCAACCAACGCTGATTTTTACCAAATTTGTCAAAAACTGAGATATTACATTGAAAATTACTATAAATGGTCCTGTAACTTGGCAATGAGTTCCCTATTAGAGAAAATACATAGAATAAAAGTTGTTGATCATCAAATTTTGTGTTCAGTGAATATTAAATAATTTAATGTAGGCCACTTACACCGAATAAAATCGGTTATCACCCGATGGTTAGAAATTGGTAATGAAGGTAAACCTGATTTTAAATATTTCAACAATATGGGTGTCTGTTATACTGAGCTATTTTTGTTTGGGGTCTGTAACATGAAGTATATGCCTCTTGTTCACCTCTCAGCAGAGAAGGATTTTGATAAACGATGTGACGAAATATATCGAATTTCATAAAGGAATAACGAATCCCGATTCGAGATATATAATTGGCCTACAATAAAAATGTCAGTACTCAGTGGACGCAACATCCGATACTTCACAACCTTTATTCAATGAATTTTCTCTAATAGGGTAGTCTTTTCCAAGTTACAGGGCCATTTATAGTAATTTCTCAGTTTTTGACAAATTTGCTAAAAATCACCGTTGGTTGACCGTGGTTATATACCTTGCCACATTACGGAATTATAAAGTTTATGTACTTGTTTGACGCAGAATTTAACGTTCTTTAATTTATTAAGTAGTTCATTTTTCGCTATTATGCATTTTTCAGAAGTTAGAGGCGAGAAGACAAAAAAAAAATATCGAAAAATCTGACTTTTTTGGCTGTAAAAAGTTTTCTCTTAGTGACCCGCATTAGCAATTAGGTTTTTTACATGTATAAACCCATAAATACAAGTTTAAAAAAAAAAAAACTTTTCTCACAATTTCGCAATGGATTATGGATTTCTCAAATTACTGGCCTTATATTCATTAAATCAGTCGCCATTTTTGAAATTAGTGGTTCTGGAATGGCAGATAGGTTCTTTTTACTCAGAATAACATTAACTTTCGTAATTTATAGTCAAACCTTCGAGGTCCATTTTTTTGCCATGGCTCCAAGGCTAATACATTTCACGCCTTTTACCAAAGCATTCATAACTCCTCAGGAGTTATAATGCTCCTAATTAAACGTTACTACAAGTGTTGATAAGCTTAATTAAAGATCTTTCAACCAATATAAAACAAATTTAAATTGTATGCTTTTATACAGCATTTTTCTTTAGCTTTTGTAAGGTATAAATTAAGAAGAAATTCAAAAGTTTTTATTTTATATCCCTAATTCTTATTTTGATGTGAGCTCTAAATCCTTGATAATTTTTCGTAGATTGGTGAAATCTATAAAAATATTTTTAAAAAGATATTTTCAAGTAATGACTTACTATAGTTAATTTTTTATTCAGAAATATTACAATCTTTCAAAATTAAGGAAACTTATAATGGTGTTCAGAGAGCACATTCACACTCAATTTACAATAAATAAAAATAAATAATACAGAACACTATAAATAATAAAAATAGAAAAGGAAAAAAGTGTAGGTTTGGTTTAAACTGAGCATATTCTCAGAAAGATTCTACATAAAAGTTTATTTATGGGTGATAAAGATTCAGGACGCAGTCATTATAAATTTTTTTTATTTTTACCAACGTTTCAACTCAAACACATGGGTCATCATCAGGGCGTGGTTCGAGCACTGAAGGCTCAAGTACTCAAAAAGTGGCGTCCTGAATATTTATCACCCATGATATGTAGAACTTTAGACTAGCTTACTTCAATAATATATAAAAGTTTAGTCGAACATTAAAAATAACTGGGACAGACATACATCTCTATATATCGATTGGTATAGTCTGAATAACGTTAGAATCCGTGAAGAAGAAAGCCAAAAAAAATAAAAATAAATAAATACATAAAATAATTTTATTATCGACTCCTAAAGGCCCATTGGAACGAGTGCCGAGATATGTGTTTTTTGTTTAGAACCACGAAATAACTTTGGCATATAAATGAAATCGATGATGATCTTTTATTATCAATGTTATTAACAATAGTTATATATATTTAGTTATTATCTCTCCTATAGAGAATAGAAGTACTTCTGGCAGATTGAAATAATTAAAGTAAAGACTGGATAGGCGTTGATGACCTCAGGGTTTTACGTCTCTAAGCCCTAAACAACAACAACTTCTGTGCAGATTAGTTATACAACTAATACTCAAGCCATAGATTTGGAAAAAAGTACACAACAACTTTATCTCGGGCTTAAGTATGAAATGATGGCGCTATATCTTAGAACGGTGGCCAAATGCTTTGTTTTTATATAAGTGTGGATTACATATCACTAATTGTCATTGGTTCACTACTTTGCAAGGAAGTAATGTTTTTAGGCCTACAGTTGCACTAGGAGGCTAATTGGACAAGATCACGTTCAATCACCAGGTTTAATATTGGTCGTATATGTTCTAGGATTCATCCAAGGCTGGTGTGACAGAATAAATAGTTGTTTGCCAAAGTTGGACACGAACTGGAACACGAGGGATAGGAGCGAAGTCCCCTATGAATATCGTGGCTAGAATAGCTAAATGTCTGGTTTTGAGCAGCGTTGAGCCAAATCCTTGCTGATATGATATCAATTAGCTTATAATTATTTCATAGTGGGTTCTTGAGATAAATCAGGATCCAACATTACGTTAAATTTTAGGTAGTTGTCAAAAATTCGAGAAGGATCAAAAGGCTCACTTGCCGGTCTAGTTCCTCCAAAAATACCATTCAGATTATAGAATATATACCCATAAAAGCACACAACATAATTGTAAAAATTGTACTTACAGGTTTTTGCAGTATGTCAGCCGATGTTCAAAATTTAGGGAAAAATAAAATCTGTTTTCCTTGGTAAATTATTGGGTACTATTATGAAATTAATTAGTAGCTGTACAGTACCCAACAATATATACATAAATCAAATAGGAAATTATTTATTTTTAGGAAAAGGTATATGATGAACAAATGCATATATTCGGGGACGATAAAAGAACGCCAACTTCCCAAGACCTTCAGAAAATGACTTACCTCGAGATGGTGATCAAGGAGTCATTGAGACTGTATCCAAGTGTTCCGATGTATAGTAGGCTCTTAGACGAAGATCTAATAATCGGTATATATGTGTATTTTCACTTCTAAATCAAATAAAATAGATGTAAATGAAATTTATTTGTTTTTAATTTGTGTAGATGAAAAAACTACTATTCCAGCGGGTTATACAGTTGCAGTGTTTCCTTACGCTGTTCATCGATCCAAGAAGCACTGGAGCAATCCAGAAGAATTTATTCCTGAAAGATTCGCTCCAGGGATTGAAATACATCCTTTTTCATTTATACCGTTTTCAGCTGGTCCAAGAAATTGCATAGGTAATGTTAGAAATTGAAAGTTTGATGCCTGATAGAGTGAATTTCTTCCTGAATAAGTAATATTAATTATTTTTACAGGCCAGAAATACGCAATGATGGAGTTAAAGACGATCATGTCGATAGTAGTGCGGCAGTGCTTGCTAGAGCCAGTCACAACTTCGATAAGCTTGGACTATGGTATTACATTAAACGCAGTAGAACCGATAATCGTTAAGGCTATTCCAAGGAATGGAACCCGGAGAATGATTTCCGAGATGAATAGTTAAGATTTGTGTAGTGATAGAAAATGTTACAACTATTTATTTATGAGAGAAGACCTGAACTTGAAACATGTCAAGTTGAAACATATTTATATTCAGGTTAAACTTATGATGTTCTACAATGTCTAGTTTATAACAATGTTACAAATATCTGTTGCAGTATAATTTATTTCTCTTATATAAAAATTAATTCCATGCCTTCAATTTGATTTTCGCACATTACATTCAACAACACACCCATTACACAGAGTAACTGACTACACTGCTAGATTCTAGAAAACCTCATGAAATTTCAAGCAGTTTTAATTATTGGTATTTTTTTTTTTAATCTATATTTATAAAAACGTAAATATAGATCGTTTGTTCAAAACCGCTAATCTCCCAAACTTCTTCACCGACCGCTTTGAAATATTGAAATAATGTTTCTTTCGCATTCAGTAGTGTTTTTATATACATTTAATCACACTCCGGTCTTTCGTTTCGGAATGGCGGCCCAAAAACCTGTGTCGCTATAGACTGTAGCGCCTAAACGGCTGTAACGATTTTAATTAAACTTGGCTAAAGTCTTCTCCTTCAAGTCCTTTTAATTTATGTATATAACATCCTTCTCCGAAAGAGTACAAAAAAAAAGTTATGATGGGTTCAAAACAATATTTGCGAATAACTCAAAAAGTACACAATTTTTGTTATTTTTGTAAGAATTATATCCGAAATGAAACAATTTGTAATGGCCAAAGGAGAAAAGTGGGTTCTAATATTTTTTTAATGAGGAGTTGAAATTCTTATTTCACATCTCAACAAACCCTCAAATACGAATTTTCATTGCAATCGAAAAATAGAAGTTTTTTACCTCACATTTTCATCAAGGCTCTGGCTGCTCCCTTCAATTTTTTTTTTAAATCACAAAAGTTGTTATAACCTCGATATTGCTCTACTTAACCACCCGAAAATTGGCATGCATTTAGGCCCTATAATGTACACGAAATGCTTGGAGATAAAAAATAAAAACCTGTTTGGATTTTTTCTTTATTTATTCCTTATGAGGGCGTTAAATATAATAGTTTTTTATATAGGCTTAAAGAGAAACAACTCAGCTTTCCAATGGTCATAAAAACATTGAATTAGGAAAAAATCACGAGGAGTTATGAGTTATTTAGTGAAAATCAGGTAAAAAGATTCTAATAGAGAGTCAATCGGTTTTCATGGCGACCCATCATCTATCACCTATTCCTTCATCTATATTATTAAAAACGTAAATGTTCGTCAGTTCAAAACCGCTATACTCCGAAACGTCTTCGCCCATCTTCTTCTGCTTCTTATACAAATCTTATGCAAATTCTAGAGTTGGAAAACCAGACATAATCTATATCTACACAAAGAATGGAACAATAAAGAAGATCACATATTCAGAAGTATTGTTACATAAAATACATTAGAATCATCTAATTTCTTTTCTACTTCTTTTTTTATTTAACCAAAATGAGCCACATCAACGCGTGGCCGGGTCAGCTATTGGAAGAATAATAATACAATCTGCCACAATCAAGGGCATTGAGCATTAAGAATCTATATGTACATTCATAATATTTTATATGTAAATTGAAGAAAACATGAAGAAGAAAACAATAGAGTAAAAAATATACACAATAAAATAATAACAAAAATATAAAATACTTGTAAAAAGAAAAAAATACGTTAAAAGGATAATAAAAAGCTATCAAAAACAATAAGCGGGTTTCTGGATGTTATCCATGCATTTGATTGAGTCTGGCACCAGAGAATCCTCTTTAAATTTAAAACTGTACAACCTCAGAAATACTCCAGTCTTTCCTTTTCGACGGGTTTTTCTCTGTCTGACAAGGCTTAAAAATTTCCTTCATTCGACCAGTGTTTGCAGGAGTAGGTCAATGATCAATGCTAGTTCCTTTATTCTACATTATATACACGGATTGCATACCTACCAATTCCGAAATTAACTGCTATCTACGCTGACGATACAAGAATTTTAACACAACATATTAATCTCAGACAAGTCTAACTTAATTCAAAAAATCATTTATTAAATTTACAAATGTGACAAGTGCCTACCAGTTCATATTGGCGAGAACCAAATTCTTCAGAACGAAAATTGTACGTTACTATGGTAATCGGGAGAAAGATGACCTGGAGCTGAAAAGAAATATTTTAAGCAAGCGACTGGGAATACTAATTATTATTAGGCAAAGACTAACACTGTTAGTAAAAATAAATATAAAATGCTTTCAAAATTCAATTCTGTACTCGGTACTGGAAAGAGTAAGAGAAAGTACTGGAAAAAATATCCTTCATTCATAAAATACCATTTCCATATAACAAGAATAACACTGACTATTTTGAAATGCAGAAGGGACTGCGTCAAGGAGATTGCTTAGCGTGTCTTCTATTTAACATTGCCCTCGAATGTGTCATTAGAAGATCCCAAATTCAGATTGGTGGAACGGTCTTCAATCATTCAGTGCAATTACTAGGGTTTGCCGATGACATTGCATTGGTTGGAAGAACAAGGGTAGCTATACAAGATGCTTTCTTAGTGCTACAAGGAGCAGCAGCGAGAATTGGCTTAAAGGTCAATGAAATGAAAACAAAGTTTATGCGGGCCGGCCCAAAGGGTGGAGGCCACAGAGAGGTAAATGTAGAAATCGGAGGGATGACATTTGAAGATGTTTCGGAATTTATATACCTTGGCTCGCAAGTTAATGTCAATAACGACATGAATCCTAAAATACAGAGGGGAGGCAAAGACTAACACTGTTAGTAAAAATAAATATAAAATGCTTTCAAAATTCAATTCTGTACTCAGTACTGGAAAGAGTAAGAGAAAGTACTGGAAAAAATATCCTTCATTCATAAAATACCATTTCCATACAACAAGAATAACACATCTACTTATTGTAGCATTCATGATAGCTGCAGATGAAGACTTAAAAGAAAAATGTAATAATGTATGTGTTTTAATTGTTGATTTATATTTTATTGTATAAATTAGACTTGTAAATGGACAACGGTGTATGAAACTTTGTCTGGTAGTATGGAGACAGTATATGAACATTGCAGGCTGAAATTTCTTCCTGACATAAAACCAAAAAAAAAAAAAAAAACTATGACTATTATTATCATATTTTATAAATATTAACTTTTATTAAAGTGTATTTAAATTTTTAATAAGGCGTTTTCTTGAAAATAGTACCACCTAGAGTTCCATAGGTATAATTGTATTCCGATTATTTCATTTAAAATTCCGGTTATCAATTAATAAAAAAATAAAAGCAGTATTTGCAGAAAATTTCTTTCAAACAGTAAAACTTTCCTTTCGCTAACTGCTCCAGTAGTTCGCCTGAAAAATGCAACTATCCAACAGAACTAATATATCTTCAGAAGGAAGGATTACAGAAACCAAACAGAGAAGAAACTATAGTATCGAGATTATTCTCCTGATTCTTTAAAATAAAATAATAGATAAATAATTATATTAGTGTACCTCAAATTCTATATTAATAGGTTGAAATGAATTTATTTCATACTTCTTATAATTCCCACCAAGAGGAAGGAACCCTCTGGGTCGGTGCCCCCGGGCTTATATCGGAATCGCCCTGCCCCAAGGCGGAAACTGCTGCTGATATTCTGTCATTTACATACAGGCGTCGATCTCTACGGGGCAGTTAAGGCGCGTCCCCCATCCAATGTTTGAAATAGTCACATTCGTTCCTTTAAATATTTTAAATGGTCCCTTAAATTGTCTCTTGCGGGCATAAAATCAGAGGATTTTACATACAATATTACAATTTCCTATTAGCAAATGCATAAGAATAAATTAAAAATTCACAATTATTATTGCAGTATTTCTTTGTCTATAATCAATTTCAGTCAAACCGTGTTTGCACATTACCTAAACCATGGTGAGCATGAGCGTTTAACAATGTAGTTATACTTGGCTAGCGTATTTTCCCCTTGATTGTGGACTATCCGTCCACACAATAAAAACAAAATGCAATTGCAGTAGCACTTCATTTCTGCATGTCTTCAAACCATTACAATACATTATTAATTACAGAATCTGTAAGTTCCTTAAAGGGCCTAGATTATATATTTCAAGAACACCATAATTTTTTTTACATTCACTCCTACCTGACCACTCTGCAAAACCCAGGTCATAGAAGTCCCATGTCACGTGGTTGGTTGGTTGTTTTAATGTTTTAGGCACAAAACATCTAGATCAACAGCACCTCCATGTTGTGATCATAGAAAATGAAACGACCTATACAGCTGTGATAGGAGGCGCTAGTCTTCCCGGATGGGGTAAAGCTGTTTAGTACCATCAGATTTAATTTGACATTCATAAACTTCATCTATGTTTATAGAACTTATAGTGGATATTACAACTATTAAATATATTTAAATATTGTGGAAATTTTCATTGCAATCGAAAATAAATATATTTTAATCTACTATAAAGCTATAAACATAGATGGTTCTCATAAGAGCTATATTGATCAGAAGCAGAATATTGAGCAAAACATTTATATTTTTCTATAGCAACGAAAATTCTTATTCAACTGTTTTTAGAGGTGCGAAAAATATATATCTTTTTTCATCACAAAAAAATATATTTCATGGTATAATATATACAATACATGCTTTATTCTTATTAACGGATCGAATCTCGAGTAAATACCAGATTTTATGATTACAACTTACTTTCGACATCCGTCCCGTTTAAAAATATATATATATTTTTGGCAAACAGCTATAGTGCGAGTAAACTATTGAAACAATTAGAACTGACCTAAATGTGCGTTTAAACATTTAAAAAACGAGGAGAAAAACAAATATATAAATGATTATTTCATCTTACAAGTATTTTTATTTCTTGATTTTGATATTTTCCGTTTGTTTTCTATATCAAGAGAAAAAAAAAAAAAATAGTTTGGTTTAGCAATAATGTGGATGTTAAGTTAAATAATTGAGTTTTCCATAGTTTGTGAAATGTCTAAACTCACCTTAAGGAGTAAAATGGATTCAAATATTTGGTAAGGAGAAACAATGTAGAGATTTGAATTTCGCGCCTTGAAAACTCTTAAATACAAATTTCATACCAATCGAAAAATAAAATTTTGCTCAAATTTTCCGCCTAGCAGAAGCCTTTGATGGATTATGAAAATCATAAAATTTGTGATAAATTGGGTATGGCTCCACTTATTTATAAGAAAATTAGAGCCCTATAGTGTACTGGGAATGGCATAAATC